GTTTTTTAAAGTTATCGAAGCGTTTACCGGACTGCTTAAGAGCTATATCGTTAGCTTTATCACTTCCGGAGGTGCTGCGAGTCGTTTAATCTTCGAAAGTAGCGAATACATTAAAGAGGTTAGAGTTCGGATTATTAGTTTTCTTTTCGACTTAGCTTTCGTATTAGTTAAAGTAATCGTAGAAAGTGCGCTTTTAAAGCAATAACAGCTCGTCGTTTCGAATGACCTTTGCGAGCTTTAACGACGCTTAAATTAATAATTATTTTTCGTTAATAGCTTTTAAAAATGCTTTTATCGCGAGTGTATCCGTCGTCTCGTAAAAGTCGTTCATCTTCGTTAACTTATAGATAGCTCGGTGTTCTTTAATTTATACCGCTAAAGAGACGCTTTTTTGCTTAGCTGCTTGCAAAGATTTATTATAATTTCGCGCTATCGATAGCTTAAAGCTCGAGTCGGATAGACGGCATATTTCTTAAAGCTTTTTTATCAAGAATTAGATAAAAGTGTTATCTTTTTTTAAAGCCGTTAAAATCGCTTCCTTAAAAATAGAGCTCTTAATTGTCTTTTTGATCTAGTCTATGATTTGATTGCTTTTGTTGCTTAAGACCTTTTAGTTGTTTATAACGAAGTTGTATTCTTTTATATTATCGTTATACGCTTTTCGGACGTTTTCGAAATCAGCGTTTTTTAGTTTTAAAGGTCTGTTAAGATCGTTTGCAAAAGCATTTAAATGCAATTCTTCTTAAGCTTTTCGTTAGCGGTCTTACTTTTAAAACTATTCGTTATTAAGCTTCGTTACTATCTTTATAGCAGACTTCGTTTTTAATCTAATCTGCTCGATAAAAAAAGCAAGTTCTTTTACGTTAATACGAAGAGATGCGTATTGTTTTATATTAAAGCGCTTAATAAAGTATTTGTAGTTCGTAATCTATCTTAAAAAGTCGCTACGACTTATAAAGTTCGTTTTGTTAATCAAGAAGACCTTTTCTACTTTGTCGTTTATTATTATAGCAATTGACTTTATGATTAAAGCTTTTGAAAATTAGTTAAAGTTTTTAAAAGTAGTAAGTGTTAGTTGTAAGGAATGAATATAATTGAAAAAGGATAAATTGCAAAATGAAATTATAATAAAGTAGCGTTGAAGTGACTTGCAGAATCCGCTTTTGATTAATTCGAAAGTTGTTAAAGACTAACTGAATAGCTCGTAAGTGCGAATGTGGCTCTTAATTATAATGCTTACTAGTATTAAGATCAAGAGAAGATTCTGTAGATTGAATAAAGCTTGGTATATTCTATTTAAGAAGCTCGTCAAGATCTATGTACATGTACCTAAGAGCTTTAGTGTGCTAAAGGCGCTATTAAGCGAGGTCATATAACATGTTACATGTAGCTTAGGTGGAACTATGCCTGTTCCGCACAATATACAGCTTATTAACAAGACTTCGATTATCTTTTAAACTTAATCGTAAAGAGCTTTAAATGCTTTTAAGCTCTTTAGCGAACTTCTTAAAGCACTCGCTAAGCGAAGTCTTTAGATTCTCTTTTTTAATTAAATCTAACGAAATTTCCTTTTAACGGTCGTATTTTGCTTGCCGCCGATAGTTAGTTTCGAAGTAGTCTTTTATTACAATAGCGTTTGCTTTGAAAGTCGGAAGCTTAGCTTTAATAACGTAATTATAATAAAAGGTTATAGCTTCTTTTATAAGCATAATCGAGAACGCCGCTAAGTAATCGTCGAAAGTTAAACCGTATCGACTTGCTTAATTAATAAAAATCTTTAATTGAGTCTTAAAGTCATCGTCGAGTCTTAAATACTTTAGCTTTTTAAGAAAGCTTCGCGCGAACAAAGCTAATTCCTTCGTTTTTAAGTGAAAGTCTACTGCTTTTAGCTTAAAGAAATCGTCTTTATCATCGTTAAAAGCGCTTAAAGTGCCGTACGCAAGCGTGCTTTGCTTAGCTAATAGTCTAATCGGTAAAGAGTTACTAATATAATTGCTAGTGGTCCGTTTTCTTTTAAAGTCTTTAAAAAGCTCATTTCCGAATCCGAAGTCTTTTAAAAGTCCGTTTCCGAATCCTTTTAATAGTTTAAAAAAGCCGTTTTTACTTTTTCCGTACTCGTAGCTTCGATCTCTTTGCTAATCTCTTCCGTTCTTTCTTCGTCGATTATCGTCAAGATCGCTAAAGCCGTTCGAATCACCGGCTAAAGCTTTAGCTTAATAATATCCGTACCTTTAAGCACGCTCTTAACGATTCTTATACTTTTAATATCTTTCTTATCGATACATAGCTTGTTAAAAGATCTAAAGAACTTGTTGATACGTCCGAAAGTGCTAGATCCTTTTTTCGAATTGCTAAAGCTAAGCACGGAAATCTGCACGCTATCTTTAATAAGAGCTGATTTTGCCCGGAATGCTTTTAGGTTTTAATAGGTCCTTTTTTAGCGTATAGCTCTCGTAGCCTCGAGTATTGTTTAATCCGATAATAATCTCAAGACTATTTTTATTGCTATTCGGCTTAAGCTTTTTAGAAAACTAAGTATAGCTTTTAAGAAAAAGGTTTAAAGGCCGTTAAGGTGATTTTAGCTTTTGTTGTATGATTAGCGTATTGCGTAGCGATTATTAAATTAAAGATAAGTACGCTAAAGCGCTTCGTCGTAGCCTTTCGTTAGATTGTATAGCGTAAGTCCGTAATTCCGTTATTTGCTTTGCTATCACCTTTATATTTTGCTTTATATCCTTCTTTTCTTTCGCAAACTCTTTGCGTAACTTTCGAATCTCTTCTCTTTCTTTCCTTGATACCTCCTTTTCTTTTTTTTTTAGACTTTGTAAAAGCAGTAGAAGTAGTTGAAGCGTAATATTTTCGTCGTCCGTAAGGTTTTCGGCGGTCTACTTTGAATCGAAGCTTAAAGGTGTTGCTTATTGCTCTTTTATTTCTTCGAAAGTCTATTAATATTGCTGCTCGTCGTTTAAGAGCTTGACCATCTTATTAGCGTAGCCTTTTTGCTTTAAAAGGCATTACACGCTTTTAAACAACAAGTATTCTTTAAAGCTAATAAAAGTAGCAAACTTAAAGCTTCGTCTCGTATTATCCTTCGTCATCGTAAAACTCGTCTAATCTTAGCGTAAAAAAGCGTGCCGGAATAAGCTCTACAAGTCGTAATCCTTTAGCCTTCTACACTTTGCATTTAAGAAGTCTTTTATTATTGCTCGAGCCGTAATCTTATTATCGAGCTTTGCGTATAATAGCTCGTTTAAGTCAAATAAGATACCCGACATCTCGTCGTCTAGTCCTTCCGAAAAGCTTAAGAGTCTTAAGTATAGTGTTTCTTTTGGTTGAATAGCTAAAGGTTCCGTAAGTAATAATAAGACTCGAAAGGTATAATACCCTGCTGCTTTTTATCGGCTAGACTCTTTACTTAAAAGTCTAGTTGCTCGATCGGTTATAATTGTTATCTGTTCGTACGTAAATCGATCTTATTAGTTAAGTTTGCTATATATAGCAAGCGCGGCTCTACAGCTTTAAAGGTTATATAAAAGTGACTTGGTTCGGAATCACTCTTCCGTAAGAATAAAGGAAAATCGGTAATATAAAAAGCGACTTGGTACGGAATCGCTTTTCCGTTGTAAAAAGAAAGAGGTATCGTATTGAAAAGTATCCTCGCTATAAAGTCTTAGCTTCTTTGTGATTGATCATTTAGTAATAAATCAACTATTGATTAGTGTTAGATTGCTTCTAAGCGATTAAGAATATATTCGTAACTTCGTAAGGTCGTTAAAGTACTTGCAATTGCAAAACACTCGGTTGATAAAGTATTTGAATTCTGTCTGCTCCTCGAGACTCAAGAGAGTTGACTCCTTCTATACGATTAGAAGGAATCACGTGCACTAGCTAACTAATAAGCCTACTTGTCAAGTTGGAGGTCCTTTGACTGCTGACATGCTAAGCGAGGCATGCCAAGTGGCCCGTGAACCATGGTTCACGGGTGAGTTTTCCCCTACTACTACTACTAGCTAGCTAAGGTCGATATGGATATACCGACATTTGCAAAGAGTTATCTTAAAAACCAAGGTTTATATTAGCTATAAGATCGTCGGCGGATATCGTACCGAAGGTAATACAAGATAAAACTAAAATCAAAGCTTTTTTTAGCTTTAAACTTAGTCTATAGGAGCGGGTATGCGCGTCAAGAGCATACGAAGGTGTTTTTCGAAAGGTAGAAATTTTTTATTTTTTTAAGATCGCTAAGTTCGCGCGTTCATGGATTACGCTATATTAGCGATTAAAGAAGGTACATAATATTTTACGGTACGAGAGCAAGGTCTTCGAATAAGGTCTAGATCGTGTACGAGAAATGGAAGAGTTATTAAGGTACAGGAGGAGATAAGTCTATTTTGGGGGTCCGTGCGTTCCTCAGCCTTAGCATTCCTTGGCCGAATTTTTTGTTTCCTCCCTTCACACTACCAAAGAAAACTTAGAAATATCATTCTCTCCATCCACATGGTTCCCCCTGCGCTCTCTCTCCCCTTTCCCCCTGTCCCCCCCAACCTAGAAGTTGTACCAAGGGGCGGCCGCTAGCCTGGGGCGGCCGCTAGTGGCTAACTAATCCAACCAACACCTAAAACCACGTCCAGGCCTGAGGCCTGCCGGTACCGTAATACTTGGCCCAGGCGATGAGGATGGATCATACGGAGTAGAAAAATAAGACTCTTACTCATGCGGCCAGCATATCTGTGCCCATATCGAAAACCATCTTAAACTCGAGGATCACTGCGATGAATATCCCGAAGAAGAAAGACCGAAGCATTCAACAGCCAGCCAATGAATGAGAGAAATAGAATAGCACAGTACTATAGCTACACTCCTGCCTCCCAGAATAACCAAGAGGCACAGTCCGTCCGAGCTGCTTTCACCTTTTCGTCCGAAGACTATAGATGGCACGCCTCCATCGTCCCCCGAGAAGCGAGAAGCAACCTCTTCCTCCTTCTCAACCACCCACCCACTCATTCCCCACCCCCAGGCGCCTCCGGATCCGTCCCTCGCCTGTGTGCTCTGGCCTTATCCCTCTTGTTCTCCTCCCGAATCCGCTGCACCATTTTCTTCGTACTTGTATACCCGACGTGGCCCCTCTTCGCGGGCGTTCTCTTCGGCGCCGTATCCACACCCGTGCCCATACTAGCAGCCGCCTCTGCCCCTACCCCTCCGGGCGCGTTCTCGTCCTCAGCCCTAGGCTCGTCGTGCGTCCTCTGCTTCCTGTGCTTGTTCCGCTCCCAAGCTTCCGCCTTCGCCCTAGATGGGAGAAAATTGTAATTAGGGCTTTGTTCGTCGGCAAGTCAAGTAAGGATCTGGAAAGGGGATTGAAATTCAATTTCACGTCTGGTCTCGGGCTGGACCTCGATCTTCAATCGGGAACTGGATCTGAAACGGGAGAGATGGAGCTGGAAACGGGCAAATTACCTCTTCTCCCCCTGGCACATCACGCACTGGTCTTTCTTAGAGTAGACCCAGTCGTGACGTGCGCAGAAGTGCTCGTGGACGGCGCACCAGCCGGTCGTGGTCGGCCTGCAGTTCCCGGCTTTGATGAAGCTCTTTACCGTCCCATCTTTGTTCTTGATCGTTACGCCGCCGGTCTTGCCGATGCACTTGTGGATCGTGCTGGTGTTGGTGATGTGAGGCATGCTTGCGATTTGATAGCAAGCTGTGTGATTGAAGAGGCTGGTTTCTGGAATTAGGAGTGCTATGTGCCGTGTGTTGGTATCGATCTGTTGGTGGTTGGTTGCGCTGATTGGGTTTGTATATTGGAACGATGTTGTGTAGGTCGAGGGTTGCGGTTATGGAAGCTGTCGATTATTTATGAGGGTGGGTGGTAATAGCGTCGGTCAGTTCCCGGTGGTGCCTAAATTGGATTAAAATCTGCTTTCTGCTGCTAAAGAAGTCGGGCCAGAAAGCCGACCTGCTATTCACCATTTAGAATAGTTCCTTTGAAAAAGTTGCCTTAGGCCGCACGCGTCTGTAATTGATATCTAACTGATAGTGAATATATATTTCGATATGCTCTATTTACTTTTGAATCGAGAATAATCTTGGCTGCATTAAATGGCGATGCTGTTCATTGCTAGAATTGAAGTCCTCCAGGAAGTCCTCTCGCTTAGTCAATAAGCGATTCGAAATGTCAACAAAGAACCGCGGGCTTTATCCACTCCAGCTCTCGGACTCGAGAACCATGTCGAATATGTATGAGAGCCTCCTCTGGCTTTGATTATTATTCTCAGCAATGATCGTTCCCTTTGTTTTTTAGCGATTATATATTTACGTTGTTAAATGGCTGTTTATGAGACCGGTTCAAACACCCTAGCCATTCTTGCGCGTCAAGTATGTATCTAAGCATGATGGATCCGATTGCATAACACGAATAGATATATATAAGCATGGCTACGAAATGAGTCGTGCGCGTGGGCGCGAAGCATACGTTATATTTGTCTCTTTTCTGGTACGAGTTTATGAGTTTGCCAATCAGAGGAAACCAAGTATATCCGTCCTGCTTGCTATTCACCTTTTGCGCGTCTTTTCGCGTCCCCCTATTTTTATCTATCCCAAGACATAAATATTGGCATCCATTAAAAGACTCCGACCGACTCCAAGCTTGCCAACTGGACATCTTTTTGCTCCCTTCGTCTTCAAGTACGGCATCTCTACCCAGGGTCAAACCTGGACAGTACAGGCGTGCAAACTTCAATCTGGTCGCGCAGATCGTTCGCTGCGGTTCACGGTTTGTGAAGCTGGATCTTGGTTGCAATCAATCAGATATTTGGAATTCGATAGCGCAGGCAGCCTGTCAGAAAGTGGTCACGCTTGAAGGGGAGGTGGCAAGCTCACGTGACTGAGTATGCCATATTACCAATCCGCCGGATCGGATTTTAAGTTAAGCACTTTTCTAAAAGCCGATGATGACAGCACCATGCATCCTACTCATCCCTGTTGACACGCCAAACAAGCTTTTATTGACCGTTTGTGGAATGGCCGGAAGCTGACTAGGGTGGATACGTTGATGACGAGTTGACCCGACCCCAGCTTTTATTATTTCTTCATTTCGCATTTCATGTCGGTCCAGACAAATTCCCATCCATGTAGCCTCAATTTACATTGCCAGCGACAACAGCGACAACAACAAAAAACACCACATTCACCACCACCGGCAACGACAACGACGTCAACCACAACCACAGAATACAGTCCCAGAATCGATCCGGAGGAAGGTATAGCGGACCAGGATGAATGCACATACCCAGAGCCAAGCGGAAGCCCAGACTGCCAGGGCAATCGAGAGGCAACAGTATCAACAACAACAACAACAATTTTACCAGTCCGAGCTCTTCAAAACGCCCCCCTCGCTGTCGCTGTCCTCCGACAACGCGCCCAACATCGCATTCGGCAGCGAAGAGGATGACCCGATAGTCGATGAAGGAGGTGCAGTGAGCAAAGATGCTCCTGCAGCGTCGCCGTCGCCGTCGCCGACAACGTCAACCCCAACGCCAACGTCAACAAATCCCGAGGACACGCGCACGAGGCTCGAAACCACCATCATCGTGCTCTCCCTCTGCGCCTCGGTATTCCTCGCCGCTCTCGACACGACCATTGTCACCACCGCCTTGCCGACCATCAGCGAGCACTTCCACTCCGGCGCGGGATACACATGGATCGGATCTGCGTATCTGCTCGCGAACGCGGCGAGCGTGCCTTCATGGGGTAAATTCTCGGATATCTGGGGACGGAAACCCATTCTTCTCTTTGCGTCCATCGTCTTCTTCGTGGGCAGTCTGCTTGCCGCGACGAGTGCCAGTATAGGTATGCTGATTGCCGCCAGAGCGATCCAGGGAATTGGGGGCGGCGGAATCATCATCTTGGTCAATATCTGCATAACGGATCTGTTCAGCATGCGCAATCGCGGTGCGTACTATGGCATCATTGGAATGGTGTGGGCATTCGCGAGCGCCGTAGGCCCCATCTTAGGAGGAGTGTTTACGGAGAAAGTAAGCTGGAGGTGGTGCTTTTACATCAACTGTAGGTCGCCCATTTTTACTCGATACTCGGATAAGCTCTCAAGAATACATGTCTAACATCTGGTAGTACCGATCACCGGCATTGTCATTATCTTGCTTTTCTTCTTTTTGCATCTCCACAACCCTCGAACGCCGGTCTGGGATGGCCTCAAAGCCGTGGACTGGGCTGGGTCCCTCACCGTCGTGGGTGGGACGTTGATGCTCCTCCTCGGCCTCGAATTCGGGGGCGTCACACATCCTTGGGACTCGGCAACCGTCATCTGCTTGATTGTGTTTGGGGTGGTGATGGCAGGTCTCTTTGTATTCAACGAGTGGAAACTCGCCCGCTACCCTTTGATGCCGATTCGCATCTTCAAGCATCGCTCTAACATTGCTTCCCTCGGCGTCTGTTTCTGCCATGGCTTTGTCTTCATTGCAGGAACCTACTACGCGCCCCTCTATTTTCAAGTTATCCTCGGCGCTACTCCTCTCCTCTCAGGAGTCTATCTATTACCCTTCGCCATGTCACTATCTATCATCTCCGGCCTCACAGGTGTCTTCATTAAAAAGACGGGAAAATACATCCCCATGATCTGGTCTGGCATGTTCGTCCTCGTCCTCGGGTTCGGCTTATACATCGACTTCCCGCGTCATTCCGGCTGGGCCAAAATCATCCTCTACCAGATCGTAGCTGGGATCGGCGTCGGGCCAAACTTCCAATCTCCTCTACTCGCATTGCAGGCCATGATCGCGCCCAGAGACATTGCAACCGCCACCGCAACGTTCGGATTCACGCGCAATCTTGCAACCTCCATCTCCGTCGTCATCGGCGGCGTTGTCTTCCAAAACGAGATGCAGAAACGTTACCCAGCTCTCCTTGCTGCTCTCGGCCCCGAGACGGCCGCTTCACTAACCGGGGGCTCGGCCGGCGCGAGTGTTGGTATTGTTGCGCAGCTGCCAAATACGCAGAGAGAGATTGCGAGGGATGCTTTCTATGAGAGTCTGCGATCGATGTGGATTATGTACGTCGCGTTTGCGGCGCTTGGACTAGTATGTAGTGCATTTGTGGGCAGTTATGTGTTGAGTAAGGAGCATCAGGAGATGAAGACGGGCTTGGTTGAGGAAGAGAAGAATAGAAAGGGGAATTTAGAGAAAGCGAAGATGAGCAGGGAAGCGGCGCGGGATAAGGAAAAGGGCAGTCGAGAGGCCGAGAAGGCTGCTGCGAGGAGAGAACAGGGTGATGTTCCTAAAGAGGAGGTTTGATGGTTTTTATGTGGGGGAAGAGGGGAGAGGGAGGAAGAATAGGTGCATTTGTTTGGCGTTGCAGGAATATCTAGCGAGGCTGCTGCATTTGGTGGCGTCTGGGTATTTTTTATACTCTCAGCAGCTATCGCGATCTAGCTTTTTTCGTATTGTTGTAATATAAAATAATACTGCTTTTCCAGTAGGAGAGCGTTCGTTTTCTCATTGCCAAGTAGATACTTCATTTCTTTCCCCCTCTAGAATCTGAGCAAGTCTTATTAATAATTTGGATATGAAATCTACCCAGATATAAGATAAATTCACAGGAACAGGCCGTCTGCTGAACTAATTAACTAGCTAGTTAGTTGTATACTACTTGTAGGCCGTCGGACTTCCGGACTCTCGACATTTATTATAATTTCAATTAATCAAAACATGATGGATAGAGATGCGACGCCGACATACACACATATACACAGGACCTCGCTTACGGCTCGCCTGCTTGCTTGCTCAATTGATCCTCGCTTATATATTTACTTTACTCTATCTTAATTTTCTGACTACGCCTGGCCTTGTGTTTAGTATGTACGCCATACGGCAAGTAAGTAAGTAAGCACGAGGCTAAAACCCACGCCAGACTAAATTGAAACGAGGGCTGGAGCACGGTGGTGTCGAAACACACAGTAGCTCAGCTCGGCTGGGCTCGGCTACACGATGGGTACGTGGACGAACCTCGTTTTATTATTTGTTAACGTGCCATAGGCGAGGAATAGTGCAATTGTTTGAAATGTCGATGTTTGGAGTCAAAGTGATTGCGAGTAAAATGCGTATATAATTCAACTGCGGCTCTCATCTGGTAAGTTCATGTATACATATATCCGTGTTCTTGCAGCCAACTCATAGCCCAGACCGTGCCCTCGCCTCGTCTCATCATTCAACTCATGCATGCACGCACATACCTACCTACCTACTTACTTACCCTCAGCCCAGAAGTCGCACCGAATAACAAGATCCATTTCTTCAATTGCATGCAGGGTCCGTACCAGACAATGGCCCGGCAATCCCTGAAGCGCGCGGATTCCCCTGACTATTGTATGGCGTTAGTACTCGAGCTCTAAAGGCAAAACCACGTCGAATCAGAATCAAATCCTGCTTCAGCCTATTGCCTCTGTGTGTCTGGCAAAGGAGACTGTTGATCCGATCCTGCCTGGCCTTACCCTGACTTGATTCTGAGGCCACGTTGGGACATCTCAAATCTCACACGGTCACACTCATACCCATCAACCTCCTTCCTTCGGCCTCGGGCCCTTCCTCGCGATATATGAGGCGCATGATGGAATGGAGGCGGAGCGAGAGGTGATCGATGTCCACATCGTCCACGACCCGAATCCCCCTACGACAAGTCTTCCGTAACAAACGGCCGAAAAGCACCACATCCCTGTCCTCGCGAGACTCGCTCATATCGTCGCCGTCGACACCACCTCTCGATCTCGAGGAGCCGCCTTCTTCGTATTTTTCTTCGTCCGTATCCTCCTCCTCTTTCGCCCCCGCTTCCAAGGAACGGCCAGCACTTGCGTCGGACAGCTCGTCCCCCGAGGGCGCGTCGTCGAATAAACGGAATTCGAGGTCGAGAGGGAGGAAGCTGCTGAGTCGAACGTCGACTTCGAATCCGTTGACGCTGGTGGGCTTGAGTGGGATCCATAATAACAACAACAACAACAACAACAACAACAACAACAACATGTCGGCGCAATCATCGTCAGCAGCGGCCGCGGCTGCGGCCGGAGGGGTTCTGAAGGGGACGCGGACGCCCCAGATGCTGGAGTATGAGAGGCAGGCGGAAGAGAGAGCCAAGGAGTTGGCGCAGATGGAGGAGGATCGGAAGCGGATGAACGAGGAGAGGGATCGCATGGTGAGGGAGCAGGAGCGTATTGCGCAGGAGGAGTACGAGATGAGGCAGTACTATGAGGCGGAGGCGTTGCGGCATGCCGAGGAGATGAGGTTGCATAGGGAAGGTTCGTTTGTTCGTTTGTTTTCTTATTCGCTTGTCTCCCCATCCCCCTTTCATTTTATTCCATTTCACTTCATATGCATGGGTGGATGGATATTCGGATTTACACTTTTGTAATCACTATATCCTAACTCCATCATACATATGGGCCGAATATCTTGTTTTTTTTTTTTTTTTTTTTTCTTTTCTTTTTCTTTTTCTTTTTTTGCTCTTCACCTTCCTTCTCCCTTCAAACAATTGTCGATTCCTGATTCTGCAGACCAGCAAATTAACATACCTTTCGAAACACAGAAGTCCGCCTCCACCAAGAACGCGTGAAGGATCACGACCGCCGTATCCGCGACCACGAAGCCAGCTCCGAGGCCTTCGCCAAAGTAATCGTCATGCCGGCGCGAGGCGGCCGGGCCGTCTCGTTCATGCAGCCTCGGAACGGCGCCTGATGATTTCAGTGATCAATTGAGCGACTTTCGAGAATGAATGATTCCTTCGAATAGAGGGAATAGAAGCAACGAATCTTACGTAGAGACTTGTTTGTTTGATATGGGCTATGCGATATAGACATATATATGGACGGCAGCAGGCACGAACAGGGAGAGCATTATGAAGAGGAGGATGGCCGGTCTGTTGATCGAGCTGAGCCGAGCCAAGCTGGGCTGGGCTGGGCTGGGCTGGGCTGGGCTGAATCGACTCGTGGCTTCCTTGAGATCGGTCGAGGCTTGAAATGGGTAAGGCTTGATTGGAAGGGTTGCTACTCACGAAGGACATGGGGATGTCTGTCTACCTACATGCCTGCCTGCCTGCCTGCCTGCCTGGAGCTAGGGCTACGAAGAGCCGATGGATTCTCTAATGATGAATGCCATAATACTAGGATACTAGCTAGCTATAGATCATATCAGAGACGGAGAACGGGTGAAGGAGAGCTTCGTGTGGTACATATATGTAGCATGGATAGATAGATGTATAAACAAGATAGGACGTAACATGGCGTAATGAGGAACTAGAACGAGAACACATTATCAAGATGATCAGTATGATTTATTCTATTAGCCACTTTAATTGACAAACCAATATGTATTTACTATTGCTTTCGGAATGGAAAGTGAAAGCAAAATATAATCCTTGTTTTAATTTCAGTGGGAGACGCTTCCCCTCCCTTTGCTTCCTTTCTTCTGGACTCTGGCGTGATCGTAAATACTAAGCTAGCTAGGTTTAACAAGCAGTGTAGACTGACGTGTATTATCCTAAATGACTTCCGCGATGAAATTATTTTTTCTACCTTTCTATATTCCAAGATATTATGGCTCTTGCAGCTAAATATTATAATAAACAAGCTATTCGGCTCTTGGCAGATCACCTTTATAAAAGCTTCTTTTTCCGAATATTTTTGGCAATTGACGAGCGTGCGACGATCTGTTACTTTGGACTATCGAATTCTGGTTTGATTTTGATAAGGTGATTTATCCAATATTAGATGATAATTTCAAGGGAAGGATGATAAAAGTCGCTTCCTTCTCACAAGAAGCTGACCTTGGAGGAAGGTACAAGTTCTGAATGCAATACTACCGGCTTTGTGGCTGTGCCTGGGCAATTTTTTTCCTTTAAGCGGCACCAAACTGTGCTAACTTATGGTATAGCTGGACCTCAGTCACTGAATTCGGGACTGCAGACTGTCCCGGCATGTTCAAGTGTTACCTGGGCATGCCCTGAGGGCTCTGGTATCGCAGATAACCTGAGGTAAGCACTGAATCATCTAATTCCAGTTCACTTACGATTCTTCGTATTAAATTTTTGAATCCTTTTAGCCGGTTTTTAGTGGCATACTCCATTGTACAAAAGTTCATTAACCTAGCGATACAGGCTGGTGATACAGACTAAGATCACTTAGAAAGTTAGCCCACTACATAATGAAGTGACTGAGGATCTCCACGTGCGGGTGCGAGTAATCGCTACATTGGAGATCCTAGAGCCTTGCACATAAAATTCCGCAGTCACTTCACTGTATGTTATTAGGCCATTGGCTTGCTGATATTGCACTTTGAAAGTGCAGGCTTGCTTGTCGCATCATGGTCGACTAGCCGAGCTTTCATTTTTATTGCTCTATGACGAGCTACAATGTACATGTCATTGCCATTCGTATGAGTACGGGCGCTCTGTAGGAGTGTTTTTCTCATGCGCTTAAATAGTCCACTCATAAATAGTGTCCTGCTGCAGAGACGTGGACCTACTCGCTTAAATCACCCTCGTCCTATCGGTATAGGGAAGCTGGCTTGATTGGGGTGACTCCGCGCTATTTGTTCTAGTGATGACTAGCTCTCGCTAACTAATAAGAAATTGAATGTTAGGTTCGTCAGGACGACCCTAAAAAAAAATGGTACCCTATGAAATCATCGTTGATTCTTGATCACCGGGCGTGTTTTCCCCCTTATATAAAGGACTGAAGCATCCTCCCGAAGCAAAGCACAGAATTCTATAAACATTACAGGATAACTCATATTAAACTTTATCTATTCATATTCACAGCTCCAACTCCAATACTCCTAAATCATTATGATCTCTAACATCATCCGCTCCGTTCGCAACCGCGTGCCAACCAAGGTCGCAGCAACAGCCAGGATGTCGACAACTTCAAGCCTGAGTCCATCCACAGCTATCCCGTTTGGCATGAACATCAGACTCCATGAGCTCCACAACGCCCTCCATGTCGAGAAAGAGGTACCCCTGCAGCTCCATGGCATCCGCCTCCACAGCCAATCCACAGCCCCAAAGCCCCTAACCACCACGTCAATTTCCAACATCCAAAAAATCCCGAACTTCATCGAGCCCACGCTCTTCAAAAGAGTCGCTAGCGTCGCTACTCAATACCTAAAGCACGGTGGCACCATGACGAGGATGCGCGCCGGTTACGACCATATCTTCCTCGAAAGCTGGCCCTGGTGCGTGGACGAGCCGGGCAAGAAGGTACCATCGTTGACCACTCTCCCCCACTCCATTCATTAAGTTGCTGCGTATGGCAGTATGCTGATCCATCGTTCTATGCAGATGGCCAAGAAGCTTGCCGGTTCGAGCGCGCAAGTGGCCAGAGCTACCGGCCAGGTCGCGGACGCAGTCGCGCAAGAGCTCGCTAGGGCGCGCTCTAGAATCGGCCAGCAGATTGCGGCGGCGAGGAAGAGGAAGCTTTGCAATGCGGACATGCAGAATGGGTTTGATCTTTAGATTTGGAGATGCACTAATACCTGGTGAGAAACTTGGTTAACGATCGATGCGGACTTGATTCTGATTTTTTTTAGGAAAGGCTCCAGACTAAGGAATAAAAATGCTGTTCTCTATGATCGATGACCTCTAGCTTATTAGGTTTGAGCTCTGGCGGCCTTAGTACTGCTTGATAAAGCTAGCAGAAAATTCTAGAGTGATCCACAGACATTCTCCCACCTGGTGACCCAATCTTTGTGTCCAATTTAAATCAAATTTAACCGATTCGAGAGAGGGGGAACAATAATTTGATACAACTGTCCAGAATCAAGTCAAGTAAAAACATCCAGCTGACTACCGGAATTTCAAATACAAATTCAATTCAATCTCAAAACATTCCAGTACGGCGTGGTCAATCCATGGATCCGTGCTAACAATAATAAATTATAAAAATATAAAAATATAAAACCTCATGAAACGAATATAAAAATAAACACAATTAAAAACATATAAACAATACATACAAACTTATTTAAAAGGAGTTAAAAAATATTTAAAAAAAAATTAAAAAAAAGTGAGGGCTGTTGCAAATCGTAGACGCTGGATACGACGCCAGTCTATCACGGCTCCCAGTCCTACTGAACTTGGCAACTAGACAAAATTTATCAGAAAATGACCTATACAAAAGCTATCATCCCGGAACAAGAGAAATAAAATACCCTCCGCTCGATATAAAATACGCAAGGGTATTTACGTACTGCCAAGCTCAAGTCCAGGCGGCTTTTGCGACCAGGTTCTCCAGCGGTGGTGCCGCGTAGGAATATAGAGAAAAGATTTTCTGAGACAGGACTCGCGAGAAGTCCTGATTCATCCCTGGGTTTCATTTCCTAGCAGACGATGAGCGTACCTGCTTCACTATTTCCTAGCAGCGTGCTTGATTTAAGAACAGGTCATACCGAGGCAGGGCACCAACTCCCAGCACCGAAAAGGGATGATACAAGTAGAGTTGCCAAAGTAATCTTTCGAGCCCGATTGATCCGTCCCCAAAGTCTGGCCTGGTTCAGGTGCATGGCTGTACTATCACCGTAAAGTGACCGTGAGAAATCCAGGGTCATAAATAAGCGAGCTTTCTCACTTCGGAGACTGAACCGTGGCCCTCTGCCTCTGACAGACAGATATATTTTGAATTTATTCCTTCAATGAACGGATTAGCCATGCCTCTCTGGATGCTGGTTAATCTTGGCTGTAAAATCGCCTCGAGCTGGTTTATTCTGACGATAGTATCACGCCCGATCAGCATACTCGTCTCCAGATAGCTTCAATGATCATTGGATGTCTGTTGTAAAAATGAATGCAATGTGCTTTACACTGAAGCTGTACTCTGGCCCAGGGAAGGAACAGGGTCTGTATTATTAAATGGTCGCCTTCCGTATATCTGGGTCCAGACATCAGATGATAAACTTCTGTTTTGTGGTACACAGAAGTAAATCAGCTGGGACCTAGATGTTGCAAGGCATTGCTGACGGACAGGGGCATTTAATGGTATTTAAAAATAAAATAAAAGGTAATTCTGATGTTGAAATTATGCTGTTCTGTTCACCACTCCGATAATGAATCCTGTCAAATTGAAATGATATCAAGAGCGAAGCGAGAGAAGCCAAACCAAGCCTCAAGTGGTGATGACGTTTGCTGCGGAAGCCCGCTCCGCTCTCCGCCCCGCTCCCCGCTCCCCGCCCAAAATTTCCAAGCTCCAAGCCTCCAAATCAACCTTCTCCACCAACATCTCCATCTCCCATCCCAACCCTCCGACTAACGACTGACACACCACCACCGCCATGCCTCTCGATACCTCCTCTTACTCCCTCGCGCTCCTGCGTCTCGACGGGCGACGCTGGAATGAGCTGCGCCGGCTCACGGCTCAGATGCGCACTCAGGCCGCCGCGGACGGGAGTTCGTACCTCGAGATGGGTAACACGAAGGTCATCTGCACCGTGGCCGGGCCGAGCGAGGGCAAGGCGGGGACGGGCCAGATGGGAGGCGCGCGGGACAGGGCGACGGTAGATGTCACTATCAGCGTGGCTGGTTTCTCGGGCGTGGATAGGAAGAGGGGAGGTGCTGGGCGGGGGGACAAGTGAGTCTTTAATTCTCCCTCTCTTCCTCTCACACCTTTTCTGTCACTATTTATTCTCCCATATATCTATATATATATATATATATCTATCTATCGCGATCTGCCTTGCCTTGCAGCAAGAGAGATAGATAGATAATTCCTCGAGGGAATCGAGAAACGAGACGGTGGATGCGAATAAGACAGAGAGAGAGAGCACAAGAGACGGCATATTGGATGGGAACAAACGATGGCTAACACCGAATTTGCGTGCCCCGTCTCCCAGGCGCCTCGCGGAAATGCAAACCACCATCTCCACGGCCTTCGCGCAGACGCTGCTCACGCACCTCTACCCGCACAGCAGCATCGCCCTATCGCTGCACATCCTCTCGCAGGACGGCTCCCTCCTCGCGGCCTGCATCAACGCGTCGACGCTCGCGCTCGTCGACGCCGGCATCCCCATGCGCGGCTACATCTGTGCCTGCACCGCGGGCTCGACCTCATCGTACAGCAGCAACGACGAGCGCGCCGACCCGCTGCTGGATCTCAACGCGGCCGAGGAGCAGGAGCTGCCGTTCCTGACGGTGGCGACGGTGGCTGGCAGCGATGATGTAAGTGTGCTAGTTATGGAGACGAGGGTGCAGGCTGGCCGGCTGGAGGGCATGCTGACCGTGGGGGTTTCTGGCTGTATGCAAGTGCGGGAGATCTTGGATAAGGTGGTTAGGGAGAGGGGGGAGAGGGTGTTGGAGGGGAGCAGGATGTGATCAGGCATCTTACAGAGAACACCTGCTGTAATGGTTGAGGCATGATACCCGGAGTTTCTGGAGTTCAAAAACGGATGGCAAGCAATATCAAGAACAGAATCAAATGTCTTGCAAGAAGTTAATCTAGCTACAGGCCATAAATTTTTTTAATTTTTTATTTTTATTTTTGGGGGGGGACTTTCATCTCAAAGCTCATCGTGCACCTCGGTCTTCTCCTCCTCGACCTTGACCTCCTCGACCTTGATCTTCTCGACCTTGACCTCCTCAACAATGGGCTCCTGGGCATCCTCGACCACCGGCTCAGCTTCTTTAGCTGGCTCTGCTTCTTCAACTGGTGCTGCCTCCTCAACAACGGGCTCGGAAGCCTCGGTAATTAACCCCTCCGGAATCTTCTGCTTGGCACCCTCGCCCAAACGAATAGCGTCAATCCAACTCTCGATCGCCTCCTCAGTGACATCCTGCTCGGTGATAGTCTCCCCACTCGGCAGCTGCCTCCACCACCCACGACGTCCATTGATGGCAATGACTGCCGTATCGCTGCTAATCTTCAGTGCCTCCTTGACTTTGGCATATCCCATATTCGCCGATGATACGGCGTAGAATGGGAATATCTGGCGGGCATGTAACTTGTGCTTGTGCGAAATCTCGGACAAGTGAGTGATGACACCCACGGCGACGGCGTCGGGCGAAGATGGGAGAATAGCGAGAACACAAGTCCCCGTCTTGGGACCCAAACATTCGGCCTCGAGCTCTTCGGGCGAGGCCAGGACCGGGATGGGTGGTGCAGCGGGGGGTTGGACAGGCTTCTCGCCTTCGACGATAGGCAGTGGTGATTCCGCGGCCTCCTCGGGGATCGTCTCATCTGTGGCGCTGGATTCTCCCGTCTTGCCCTCTTCCGCAGCCTGCGCAGCGGATGATTTCTTGGATTCCTCCTTGGCCTTGCTCGCCTTCTTGCCCTCCTTGCTCTTAACCTTGACCTTGGCCGGCGCAGGATCCGGGTTCGGCTCTGCAGCCTGAGACAGGAACTTGAGCATTGCGTCTTTTTTCATCTCGCCGTCGTACACAATTCCTTCTGCTTCCTTGCCTCCGGGCAAGAGCAACAAAGTAGGGAACTTGTTGATGCCGAACAGCTCCAACGATGCCTTCTCCTTGTCTGTATTGCGGATCTGCGCCACACGGATGCTGCCCTTGAAATCTATCGCCAACGCCTTCAACAATGCGCTCGTCTTGCCCTTGTCGGAGAACAGGATCGCCTTGGCCGTGTCGTTCGACTCCGCCAGCCAGCCCTCCAACGATTTGTCGTCCACCCGCTTCACCAGGTTCGGGATCTTGTCGACAACGGCATCGACTATGCCCTTGGCCGTCCGCGGTCCCTGGTAGTCCTCGACGATTGGCTTCCCGGGCGTCTTTCCCGGCTTCACGATCTTCAAGGTGGGGAAGCCCTGGACGCCCATTTTTGCACAGAACTGCTTGTTACTCTCGTCGTCGCAGTCGACGGCGGCGACCTTGGCCAGGCCTTGCAGATTCACGGCGGCTTTCTCGTAGGCGGGCTGAAGATTCTGGCAGTGGCCACACCACGGGGCGTAGAACTCGACGATCTGAAGGAGAGAGAAGAAAGGAGGTTAGAGGGGTGGGTAGTCTTTGGGGGATGATAGCAGCACAGCTCACAGAGGTATAGTTGGATTGTAAAATCAGGCGGTCGTAGCTTTTGCTGTCGAGCTGGACCACCTTGGAGCTCTTAGGATAGAGACCTGCATTGACGGGGATGGCGGCGAGGAGAGCTGCTGCCACGACGGCGAGGGTGTGGGTGTGGACCATGGTGACGAAGGGAGGGCAGGGCAGATTAGTGTGAGTGGGAGTAGTTGGAAGAGGTCAATTCATCAAATCATAGGTGTCATTGATTTTGAGTAGAAGTTGATTCTGTTGATGTTGGAATGGACGCTGCTCACGGTTGAAAAGGCCACTTGGTAACTTTAGGGGCTGCAGTCGAAATCCGGGGTAAGCTCCCGCTTCAGGGGTGCTCAGGCGGTAAGTAAGCTTTTGGCGTTCGGACCGGGTCGGAATAACGTCACTCCTTCCCGTCAACGGTTATGAAGTTAGCCCTAAGTCTGTTTATATATCAAGTATCCAGATACATTCTCCAATTCTGCCTATTCAATCCAATGATACTATCGCATCAGATCTACTCTATGCGGTAGGCTCGTAAAAGTCACTACTGGTATACATTTATTTGTATTAGTCACGAAACTCCATACCGTAATTCACTTACCCCTTTCGCTTCTCCTTTCTCGCTCCTCTCTTCCCATACACACCAAAAAAATTATATCTACTTTAGATATGCCAACTCTGCCCCAACTTCCATCAGCAGCGAGGAATGGCATGGTGGTTTAGTGGCTATACAGCCGCTGGCCGCTTCCAAGTACACCTGTTTGATAACCAACGACAATAACCTATTCAATTAGGTTTGTAGACTGGAACCTCATACCATCATCACATCCGATGAATTGAGCTTCCAGTTGAGTTTTGCTAAAATTCTGTATTTTTTTTGATATATACTTTCTTCTTCGAGGGGTATTCTTTTATATTCTGTCTGGTAGTAGGAGCTCCGATCTCACATCTTTTCAATTAGGTTTGTAGACTAGAACCTCATACCATAATACCCATGAATTGAGCTTCCAGTTGAGTTTTGCTATAATTCCATTTTTTTTTATGTATTTTCTAATTGGGGGAGTATTCTTTCATATTCTGTCTGATGGTGGGAGCTCCGATCCCACATACGTCAACAGATCCGGGCAGACGTCCTCCTCCTCCTCCTCCTCCCTATCCTCCTCTCCTCCTCATCCCCGCCCTCCCGGCTGCAGCCGCGTGAGGTACCGGTAACTCTATCACACAGAAGGACACACAGCTCGTCCTTCAGAAAGACCATTCTCCCATCCTCCGACAGAAGGACCCCGCGGATGGAGCCTACCTACTTACTTACCACGAGCAGGCATCTCACGTCCTGATACTCGATGTATATCCCCTCGATAGCCATCTCCATCCAGCTGGCTTAATATCAGGCGATAGATCCGGACACCCCTATCACCGCGGCAAGCGGGTCAGCACACCTCCTGCAGAATACCAAAGCAGTCCGACGATGCCGTCGTACGTAAGGTAGGTAAGGCAATGAGTAGACAGACGGATTGGAGTTAAAACCAGGAAAAATCAAGGTACGTACTGCTGTTTGTCGTCCTCGGCTAGCTTGGGGTGCCGTCAGTCCCCCGTTTTCCTTCTTGAAAACGCGTCCCGGTCGGAGGAGGAATACAGCGGGCGCGCCTGCTCCGGTCTCGCCTTCGGAACTAAACCTCTTTGCTATTGCCAGATGGGGAGAAAAAAAATTGGAAAAGGCTAATACCGATACAGAAAAAAAATCGCATCACATCCACGTGATTGCATCATACCCACGCGAGGAAGGCCAGACGGCTAGTCAAGATAAGCCGGTCGAGGAATGTTCAGACTTAAGAGCATGAGCTAGTACAATTTTCCCTTTTTTTTATATATGATTTATGAAAAGATAGGTAGGTGATGACAATGCTTGATTGCACAAATCTATTTTTTTGATTGTCTAAATTACAATTGTTTTTTTTAGTTTGGACATATCAAGAATGAGGATGGTTATGTGTTTGATGGTACTTGATTTGCTTCAAGCTTGGCTAGGAACTTGGATAGAGATCCGACATGACGCTGCGAAACACTTGTAATAAAATGATCAAGATACTTAATTCAAATGTCAAGATCTTTGTAGATCTAACCTAAGATGAACAGTTTCGCTGACAGGCACTACGTACCTCTGGGAAATTACCATTGTAATATCGCCCAGGTCTATTCCACTGCGAGAATTCCCTTCGTCCGGTGATACCCAGACGCTCCCTTCGAGGCATTGAAGGCAGGTTGTAAGTCAAAGAAACCTCTTCGGAAGGCATCAAAGACCAACAACATGTTGATTGTGAAATCGGATTCGGGATCAAGTCGGTCCAAAGCAAGTCACGATGCCAGATTTGGTGCAACGCCCAACGTCGTGCAATATGTGAACTATCACGAGATCGATCGTCAAGTCGGGACGAGCTCTGAACATCCGCTGTTGGTAACCACACCAATCCGTAGGAGCCAAGCAAAAAACTCGACCAGGTGTATATAAAGCAAAAGCAAATCCCAGTCAGTTATCGCGGAACGCTGCTCGACAGCTCATTCCGCGGCGGCCCCTGCAGTAGGTAAGTAGATGGCAGATGGCAATCTTCGATCGAATCAGAACAATCCAGATACTCGGGACTCGCCAATCTGCCATCTATTCTCCTTGAGCCGCCTGCAGGTCGCACAGTGTCAGGAGCTGCATATCGTGCATCCTCGGGAAGGGTTGAGTGTGATACCAGGCACGAGAGATGTTGAATCAGCGATCGTGGTTAAAGCCACGAGAAGGGCGACGAATGTGATTGTGTTCGACGGACTTGATATCATGTATGTCGAGGGAGGAGCAGTGCATCCACACTCTGTTCGAGCGGTGAAGGGGGGTGAGCGGTTCCTTGATCCGGTCGGCATCGAGTCTTCTATCTTCTATATGAGTTTGCTTCTCTCTCGAGGTAGACCTGCGTGCTCGATCCGAGTCCGTATGAGTTGCGAGAGAGTCGTTTCGTTTCATTGTTGCTTTCTTGGATTGACTCCAGATCTCTCCTCCTGCTGCTGCTGTTGTGCTTTACCCGGGGATCTCAATCTCCCCAATCCGTCTCTGCAACTCTACGGATTCGAGGAGCTTGCTGGCTTGGAGTTCAATCCAGTATCGATCGATAACATGACGCCTCTCACTCACCTGCTGAACGTCATTTTGACGATGGCCTTCCTTGTCTCCGCCCATCCCGTCAGTCACACCGCTCTCCTCGCGCGCAGCCTCCCGGCCATCCGCCCAAGTGATCCGAAGCGCGGACTCGTCTTCCACGACGCAGCCCTGGTGCAGAAGTGGAGTGGAGCCGGATCGCAGGTCTCGTGGGCCTACAACTGGGACTCCAGCGCGCCGGCCGACCTCCCCCCGAACCTGGAATTCGTCCCGATGCTTTGGGGTGCCGCGGCCGAGCACACCACCCGGGTAAAAGCCTCTCTCTTCTCCCTTCTCCCCTATTTTCTATCCCTTGAGGCCGGCTAACCGGGATCCAGTGGGCAGCGAATGCCAATGCGGCCATCGCCCGCGGCGCCTCCCACCTCCTCTCTTTCAATGAGCCAGACTACTGCACCACCACCGCGGTCGGCGCTTGTCTGTCTCCGAAAGACGCCGCGAACGCGTACCGCAAGCACATGAACCCCTTCGCGGGCCGCGCCTACCTGGGCGCGCCCGCGGTGACGAACGGCCCGAGCGGGATGAAGTGGCTGAAGCAGTTCCTCGCCTTGTGCACCGGATGTCAGATCGACTTTGTGCCGATCCACTGGTACGACAGCGCGACCAACGTGGCGTACTTCAAGAACTACCTGGCGGACGCGCACGCTCTCGCCGGGAAGAACATCTGGATCACCGAGGTACGTAAAACCCGTTTCGGGATCTCCCGAGCCGTTGCAGCTTCGAGAAGGCGGGATCTTGACAGCGGTGTGTGTAGTTCAACGGGTCGGGAAGCGCGGCGGAGAAGACGGCCTTCCTCAAGACGGTGATCCCGTGGATGGATGCGCAGCCGTATATCACGCGCTACGCGTGGTTCTGGTGTGATGCGAAGGCCAGCACGCCGATTGTGGACGGCGCGGGCAATCCGACGGCGCTGGGGAAGGTGTATGGATACACTGCATCCTGAGAGGCGTTCGGTGAAACGCGAGGGAGTTGGAGTCGGAGTGGTGTTGAGACTTTTTGGCGCTCTGGGTTTCTCCTGGGTCTAGTTTTTTGCTGTGCTTTAAGAACTTGAATAAAATATATTTTGTTTATCAAGATTTTGCATCTCTCAATCACATTGCGTTAGTCGAGATACGTAGTACGTGAAAGATGAGCGTTGATCCGGGTCCTAGCGAGACTGTGAGTACGGTTCTGCAATTGGAGCGGAGATGGTATTCTCCGGAAGAGTGTTTCTAGAGGTTGGATCGTGTACCGTGGAAGGCATCCGAGTTAGTTGTATTCCGAGGTGTATAGATGCACAGATGCGTAGATGTAGGTATAGAAGTGCAGAAGTTTCCAACCCGTCGTGAAGTTGGATTTGAAGCCAGGAGATACCAGTCAGCCCGCTCGCTGACCCTACTCTTCCATCTCTCTTCGCCAATTCTTCTACTCCGTATAGGTATACAGCATACAGCCAGTCTTCGTGCACCTGTCGCTTGCCAAAGATATTCTCTGCCACAGAAGTCATCTCCAAAGGAATTTTAAGAAACATCCGCCCAGCTATGACGCACGCTACTATATATAGCAGATGCCCGCCAGACCAACCCCATGGTTCTGCTAGGTATACTACCTACCTTAGCGGAGCAAGCCGGGATTCTAGAACCGTAGGGCAGACCGTGTAGCAGGTCTACACGGTTGGCCACTATCCTTCAAAACAGCTCGGTTGATAGATTTTAAACCGTGTAGAAGTTTTAAACCGTGTAGATATTTTTAGACCATGTAAGAGGAGTTAAGCGAGGGCTGCGCCCGAGAGAATAATCCGGGCGGGGTCATTGGTGTGGCTGTGCGCCAAGCTATTACATCCAAATAGAGGCAAGTTTGAATTCAATTGGTAAGGGCTATTTACTACTACCTCCACCTCTGCCAGATTGCTACCTCCACCTCAGCGCTCTCTCTTAGACCTTTTGTAATCTTCCAGCTTATAAAATGATGTTGGTGATATCGGACCGTAAGGTTGGAAAGAGAAGGAGCCTAAAGCGCGTCTATCACTATAAACAACTGATTAGTATGCGTAGCAAACAAAAAGAATAAAAAGAAGGGGGGGAGGGAGTGGCTGGTTTGCCTTATTATTCGGCCAATCCACATTCGAGGGAATGGTCCTTGCAAGTGAGCAGACCGAGGGACGGACCGAAGAAGAAAAGACCGAGGAAGGGATCACTTGCTTTTTCGATACTAGCACGTTAGAATAATAGATTAGTATTCGTAGCAAATAAGGGTGAAAGAGGATAGGGTGGTTAAAGGTTAAAAGGTGACGCGCCTAGTAGTTGTAATAGTTATAATAGTTAAAGTTTTATTAAGAACGCGAAGTTTAAATATACTTATTCAGCTGTGCGCGGCAGAATTGAATTAGTATATCGGAGTTAAGGGTTATTAAAAAGCGGTCTATGCGATCGCTTTCGCTAACGGTCTTTACACGGTTTAAAATTTCTATACGATCACTACACGGCTTAAGGCTGCTACATGGCCCGCTACACGGCCTAAGGCTGTTACACGGTCAGCTACACGGTTCTAGAATCCCGGCTTGCTCCGCTAAGGTACGTACTACGTATATTACCGGTATGTGTCTGGATCCCAAAACCACGGTGTCGGGCGATGCACTTGCGCTGAATGGGTTACCTGGCCTTTCCTACCAATCTCCTAAGTACTACAAATAAGTACTACGTCGCAGGCGTAAGTATTACCCCTCGAGGGTAGGGAAAACAGGGGGTTTAAAGTGGAAACTAAACTTTTAAGGCACCCTCGAGGGGTAATACTTAGGCCTGTACCGTGGTAGTTGTACTTTTCAAAGCTGAATCCGTATGGGCTGATTGGTTTAAGCCCTAGTAAAATCTCTTACGAAATTATGCTTTCGAAATGTATTTATAAGAAAAGGAGAGTAGCGATAAAAAGTATATATACGAGAAATTGCCGAGCTACTTCGCAGTCACAACTATATAAGATAAGCTACTCCTCTTCGTATTTTGATTATTCTCATACACTATCAGTATAGTGCTTTACGATCTTCTTGTAGGCTCAATTCGTTAGAAACGATCACCTTTATCTACCAACTCTATTATGCGTTTCAATAACAACCTCTTCTTGCTCGCTTCTTTCTTCGGCGTCGCAATCGCCTTCCGTCGAACTTGCAGGCCCGACTTGACCGGCGAGATCACCGGCACCGGCTATTACACTGTTACAAACTTCGATACTTTGCAACAAATCGCGGCTGACTTTTGCAGCGCTCAAGAAGAGATGGATGCTATAAACCTTAACGTCGATTTGAAGTCAAGCACAATTTTAAAAGTTCCTTGCAGAACTCGAAAGCGCGATTGCTCTAGGATAAAAGGCGATTATAATAGGTATTATACGTTCGTCGATAGCGACCAGTTGTCAATGATTGCGGCGGATTTCTGCATAGACGTCAATACGTTAAGGTCTTTAAATCCCGACGCTTCCGAAACCACTTTATCTCCTAAGGAGGTCCTCAAAGTTCCTTGCGCTTAAAACTAGCTACAATAAAGGCTTTATCCGCTCGCTCGCCCTTTTGCTTGTTGCGAGGCTACGATAGGCATAGGATTAGCGACGGAATAGGTTGTGAATTGGACTTTACTTTAGAGCTAGGATCTACCGGTATTAAGCAGTTGGACTGCTCTTCTTATTTTCTTCGACACTAAAGTTGAGCTTAATATATTTCGAAAAGAAAAAGGTTAAGGGATGGGAACTAAGTCTCTTTGCTACAAAATGTTAAGGACTTAAGGACTTTATTAATCGTCGGTTACCTTGAATTTGATTGGTAAAAAATCCCGACCTGGCGCTAAGGCGAGACACCTAGCAAGGTACGGTAGGACAGTAACGGTATACCACTTATTAAATAACAACTATTGATACAAAAAAGAAAGAAAAAAATTTCATATGCTTAGAAAACTTTGCTTTACAAACTTGAATTAAAATCACAAAAATGCATTTATTTTTAGCGATTGAATACATTGAAATGTAGTAAAAAAAAAATGAGTAAAAAACTGTCCCAAATAATTTAAATCTACTTGTTTATTGCGAATATCGTAACAATTATAACCTTAATTTTTTTTTAAAAAAAAAAGGCACATAGATTGAAAACCAATGATTTAATATATTACATTACTAAAGGTATTAATTATTGAATCAAGGTTCATAGTGATGCACGTATTCTTTTGATAGGTTTAAGTAAAAGTCTGATTTTCGTGTTCTTCGCTTATTCAAGTTTTTACGCGGCAATTCTGATATATACGCACTAGTAAAATCGAAAAAAAATATATATATATATATATCAAAAGTACCATTTTTACTACTTTAGCTCAACACAATAAAAGAATAACAACTTGTAATTAAAATTAAATTGATGGATTAATATCAAGCTCGATACTTTGCATATTTCTATATAAAAATAATTATTATATAATAGTTGATTGATTTTCTATTCGTTAAGAAAAAGCAAATTTTATTGTCCCGCCTTTGCTGGGTGTCCCGCCTTGGTGGTGCCGACTTGCTACAGCAAGTCGGTCAATTCTTTCGAATTAAAATTTAAGGAAACCGACGATTATTAACAAATAAAAACTTGATATCGACATAAATGGATTCTCAAAGTGACGTACGTGTCTTTATATATATGGAATTTCGATAACTATTATTATTAGGACTTACCGCTTCAATAGTAGAGGTAGAGAACTTGTGTGTAGAGAGGATAATATTTCCAAGTTCTCTTTGGTAGGAGAAGTCTATGTACTCCTTTAGCGCGCACGTGCGCCTAAAAGACCTGGTAGCCTCAGGCCATCATAACACCCCTCTGTCGAGGCCTCCAAAAGCTCTCGGCAGCACCCAATTACCACGGTACAGGCCGAAGTACGTACTACGTCGCAGGCGTAAGTATTACCCCTCGAGGGTAGGGAAAACAAGGGGTTTAAAGTGGAAACTAAACTTTTGAGGCACCCTCGAGGGGTAATACTTAGGCCTGTACCGTGGTAGTAGTATCATGCGGCTTGCTGAAAACCTTGGATATCCTGGATACGGTTCAGGTACGGGTACCGTACTATCGATGTTTCTAGCCCGCTCGAGTCAGTAGCGCATCGTCCGAGTGATCTTGGGCCGAACGTTCTCTCGTCGATGCTCCTCAAATTGCGAACGACTTCCTTCGTTCTCAATAGTACCATCCGGGTCGCGGGCTGATCATCGATCATTGCTGGTATTAATATGTATTGTTCATTTTTCCTCTCCTTGTACTTACTAGTATTTTGCATGCAGCAGATGTTACGTAGTACATTGACATACCGGTACCGTACGTAGTATATCTCGAGTTTGATCTTCGCGAGATCATTTGCTGCGCAAGCGAGGGGTCCCCCATAAAGGGTTCGCAATCGAGATAGCTGGCTTGGCCGGGTTGGGTTGCGTTGCGTACGAGGTACGGAGTACGACCAGACGCGGGGAAAGGGGCTTTAGCGACACGCCGACATGTCAACAAGCATACCGGTACTCGGAGAAGAGGTACAGTACAGTACTTAGTAGTAGAAGTAAGGATAATGGTCTGGGATCAGGGATCAGGATAAGCAGAGGATTAAGAAGATGAAGTCTTCTGTGCGTCGCTAAGTAGTACGGTAGTACAGTACTAGTACTAGGTACGACTTGTAAGTGTAGTAGTTGAAGGTAGTACCTAGTAGTAGTACTACGTACTTAAGTAGTAGTACAACGTTATACTACGTAGTTTATTGTCCGTTCGTGTAGCCGAGGTCCTACTGGTTGTCCAAGTACGGATACGGGTCCGGTCAAGGCTCAAGACCCGCCGATGATAGTTGTAACAGATATATTGATCCCGAGCGCGTGGATATGCTAGTACGTAGTACGTACCGTACCGGTACTGTAAGGTAAGTAAATCTCAAATATCATGACGTACGGCGTACGGCGTACGGCATACCGTACATACTACGTAGTATGTACCTTGGTCGTTGTAGTAGTAAGTACGGTACTGTAGTACTGTAACTCTTATCTCCTCCATTTAGCCCTTGGAATGGTGGGGGAAATAAGACATTCCGGACCTACTACAGTAATACTACTACTACGGTACTAGGTACTACCTACTACCTACTACCTACTACTAGGTACTACCTACTACTACGCACTACTATTTACAGCCGTGCCCCGCCAAGCGAGTCGAGTCGGTGCCAGCCCGGCCCATTGGCCCCCCATTGCCCCACCCCATCGCCCAACCTCCAATCGGATTCAGATTCGCATTCGGATTCGAAGGTGCTCTACGCTCTGGATCACGTAATCGTATAGACTTCCGCATATCATCTCATCTCAGCTCCGAGATTGGTTCGTTGCTGTTGTCGTCGTCGTTGTTGTTGTCGCCGCCGCTCGCCATGGCCAGCGAACAAGTCAGTCTACCCTTCTCGGTGGGTAGTGTTTCCTTTCCCCTTCTCTTGTATGGAAACACATACCTATCTATCTATCCATCCATCCATCCATCTATCCATCTATCCGTTCAGATCATACCATATAGCTATGATTAGCCTTTTTCGTCTCCTGCTTTCCGGAATACGGTCCGCAATTCTGTGGTTCACGGCGAGATCAGCTGCGCCAGAATCCCAGTGCCGATTGCAAAGACCCAAGACTTCCAAGAGAATCAAGTGAATCACTGAACCTTCTTTTCCTCCCTAAATACCCAGGCGCGATTACGGCCTATCGACAACCACAACGACAGCTACTTATATTACCTTACAATGATACCCACCATGATAACGAGGACAATATCAACGACAACTTAAACTTCTTCTTTACTTAATATCGCATCTCCCATCCGCGGGCTTGCCTCCGGCTCCCTCCACCTCACCCCCCTCCGCCCATCATGGCGTTCTTCAAACAGACATGGACGTTGACGCGCAAGAACCTCTTGATTGCCTTCAATCGCAGCCCCCGCAGCTCGATATTCCGCGCCTTTCTCCTGCCCGTCTTCTTGATTGCCTTCCTCAGCTTTGCGCGGAATCTCTTCGTGTCGCCCTCGAGCTACGGCATCGGAACGGCCAACCCCATCCGAACTCTGGCAGAGGGCATCAATGCCGCGGGCGGCGGGCGCAACACACTCGCCCTGGTGAACAACGGGCTCGTCGGCGGGGATGTCGCACGGGTGATAGACGCGCTGGCAGTGGCGGCGACGGCCGCGGGAGCAACGGTCGCCCGACTGACAACCGATACGGAACTGTTGGAGACGTGTCGGAGCAGCTTGCGCGGCGCAACCTCCTGCTATGGAGCCGTGGTCTTTATCTCCTCGCCGACCGAGGGTCCTGGTGGACGCTGGAACTATACGCTGCGGGCCGATGGCGCGCTCGGAGACGAATTCTACTACGACCGCACCACGAACGATGCCCAGATCTACCTCCTGCCCCTCCAACGCGCTGTTGACACGGCCATTGCTGGGCTGGCAGATACGACCACCGCTCAAGCGGCTCTTCCGGCCACGGGGCTGGAATACCCATATACCAGCCTCACGGAGGATCAGCGAGAGACCAAGATCCGGGTCGATTTCCAGGCATCCATCATCAACGCTCTGGCCGTGGCCTTCCTGATCGGCATGGTGGGCATCACGTATCACTTGACAGGCTTCATCGCCTCGGAGCGAGAGTTGGGCATGTCCCAGCTGATTGAAGCCATGATGCCGAATCTACGCAGATGGCAGCCGCAAGCCGCCCGCTTCGTTTCCTATCATCTGGCCTTCGATATCATCTATCTCCCGGGCTGGATCATCTTGTCCATCATCCTCAGTATTGGCCTCTTCGCCGAGACCTCCGTGATCATCCTCGTCATCTACCACATCCTCGCGGGCTTGTCCCTCGCCTCGTTCTCGATCCTCGGTGCATCGTTCTTCAAGAAAGCTCAGTTGAGCGGCTTCTCGGTGACTCTGGCCACGCTCATGCTCGGTGTTCTTGGGCAGGTCTTCAAGCCCACGAGCTCGGTACCGGTTGCGATCCTAGGTCTTCTCTTCGCACCCTGTAATTATGTCTTCTTCTTGGTGTTCATGGCACGCTTTGAGCGACAGGAGATGGCCACCGATCTGCTCAGCGCAGCACCCAGGAATCCCTGGTCATTGCCGGGAATAGTCCTCTGGGTGTTTCTCATCATCCAGATCTTCGCGTACCCCATTCTGGGAGCAATGGTGGAGAGGGCGCTGTATGGCACCACGTCCAAGGGCCGGACAGTCACGGGTCAAAATCTGGAGACGGAAGCCGACGATTCATCGTCCGAGACGGTTCAGCTGCAGGGCTTCACAAAGCACTACCAACCCAGCTGGTTGAGTCGGAAGTTCGCTGGCATTACCAAGAATCCGACAGCAACGGTCGTTGCCGTGAATGACCTGACGTTGAGTGCGAGGAAGGGCCAGATCTGCGTTCTGCTTGGAGCAAACGGGAGTGGCAAGAGTACCACCCTCGATGCCATCGCTGGCCTGAACCAAGTTACCAGCGGCACGATCAAGGTTGACGGCACCGGGGGAATCGGATATGCGCCGCAGAAGAACGTTCTCTGGGATGACTTGACGGTGGAGGAACACATCCGCATCTTCAATCGGCTCAAGTCTGCTGGCAAGCACGATTCCAAGGACTCCCTCCGCAGCCTCATTAGCGCCATCGACCTGGACAAGAAGATCAATTCACGATCAAAGACACTCAGTGGGGGTCAGAAGCGGAAGCTCCAGCTGGGCATGATGTTTACCGGAGGAAGCGCCGTCTGCTGTGTGGACGAAGTGAGCAGCGGTTTGGACCCTCTCAGTCGTCGGAAGATTTGGGACATCCTTCTAGCCGAGAGAGGCTCACGATCCATCATTCTCACCACTCACTTCCTTGACGAGGCGGATTTACTCGCGGACCAAATCGCGATTCTTTCCAAAGGCACCCTACGGGCCCAAGGGTCTTCGGTAGAGCTCAAGAATCAATACGGGGGTGGCTACCGAATCTACCTCCCGGCTGGATCAGGGCACGAGCAGGTACCAGCAATGGAAGGCGTTGCTTCTCGCGAGGTTTTTGGCCAGATGGTCTACTCGGCGCCGACATCATCCCAAGCTGCCCAGATCATCCGACGACTAGAGTCCGGAGGTGTGACGGACTACCAGCTCTCCGGACCCACCATCGAAGATGTTTTCCTCCTGCTGGCTGAAGAGGCGCGCGCCGAAAGTACCGGCCTTCTCGAAAAGGAGACGGACTCTGAATCCGAGAAGAAGATCGGAACGACAACAAAGGCCACCGCAGAGCCATCCCGAAAGCTCGAGCTGCATACCGGCAAGACCATCGGACTCTCCCAGCAAGTCTGGGTCCTGTTTAGGAAACGATATACGATCCTCCGCCGCAACTATCTGCCCTACGTGGCTGCTCTACTCCTCTCCGTGATTGCTGCTGCTCTGGTCACGCTGCTTTTGGATGACTTCGAGGCAGTCGGCTGCTCGCCAGAAGCAGGTGTGACAATTTCCGACGTCGAGTCTCTGGCCGGCCAGTCGCGGTACTCCTTGGTCGTTGGCCCTTCGTCGAGATTCACGAATGCTACGCTCACGTCGCTATATGCACCTCTTGTCCCTTCACAACAGCAAATTCAACTGGTCGACTCTCTGGCGGAGTTCAACGCTTACATCGGTCAAAACTTTGCAAACGTGACCCCGGGCGGATTCTTCATCGACGGATCACAGACCACTCTCGCTTACAAGGGCAATGGAGATTTCTATACTTCCATCTTTGCGCAAAACCTCATGGATGTGGCGCTCAGTAACACGACTATCGGTATTCAATACGCACCATTTGACCTCCCCTTGGCGGATAATACGGGGAAGGCCTTGCAGCTTGTCATCTACTTCGGCCTCGCCATGGCCGCATACCCTGCGTTCTTCTCGCTGTATCCGACCATCGAGAGGACGATGCACATCCGTGGTCTCCAGTACTCGAATGGCGTGAGGCCTCTACCCCTCTGGCTCGCATACCTGGCCTTCGATTTCTTGTTCGTGCTTTTGTCGAGTGCATTGACGGTCATTATATTTGCAGCAGCATCTTCGGCGTGGTACTATGTGGGATACCTGTTCGTGGTCTTCATGCTCTTTGGGCTGGTATCTACACTGCTGTCGTACGTGGTTTCGCTGTTTGCGAAATCACAACTTTCTGCCTTCGCCTTTGTTGCTGCCGGTCAAGCTTTAATGTTTCTAATATATTTCATTGCCTACCTGGCCACCCTGACATATGCCGTAAGTACACAAGACCGCCTGTCCCTTGGACTAAGCTAACACCTGCCACCAGCCGCTCCACAAAGTGGACGACTACCTTCGCGTCGTCCACTTCGCCATCGCTGTCATTACGCCCATGGGAAGCTTGATCCGTTCCTTGTTCCTCGCGCTCAATATCTTCTCCACTACTTGCTCAGGCCGAAATCTTGCTTCATACCCGGGGGGCATCCTCCAGTATGGTGGACCCATTCTCTACCTAGTCCTTCAAGCCTTTGCGCTCTTTGCTTGTCTCATGTGGCATGACTCTGGATCCGTCATGGCCTGGTATCGCCGCCTTCGAAAGTCAACAGTCAAGCCCGATCGAGAGGATCTCCCAACAGACGAGGAGCCGGCCGAAGAGCTGGATCGTGTCAGCGGCTCGGAGGATGGGCTCCGTGTACAGCATCTCACCAAGTCTTTTGGTCCCCTCACCGCTGTCGACAATCTCTCATTCGGTATCAAGCGCAGCGAGGTGTTCGCTCTACTGGGCCCCAACGGTGCTGGGAAGTCCACCACCATCTCCCTCATCCGTGGAGACATCCGGCCGTCTAAGAATGGAGGGAACATCTTCGTTGAGAATGTTGAGATTAACCAAAATCGTGCCGAGGCAAGATCTCACCTCGGTGTCTGTCCGCAACACGATGCCATAGATCAGATGACTGTTGTCGAGCACCTTCGCTTCTACGCTCGCGTTCGTGGTGTCCCTGACGTTGAACACAATGTGCGCGAGGTCATCAGAGCCGTCGGACTCGATGCATTTACTTCACGGATGGCCGCGGACCTGTCCGGTGGAAACAAGAGGAAGTTGTCCTTAGGTATCGCGTTGATTGGCAACCCCACCGTACTGCTTCTCGACGAGCCCAGTTCGGGGATGGACGCGGCATCCAAGAGAATCATGTGGAAGACGTTAGCTGCCATTGTTCCCGGGCGCTCGCTCCTCCTCACGACTCACAGCATGGAGGAGGCAGATGCCCTCGCCAACCGAGCCGGGATCATGGCGAAGCGTATGCTGGCGATGGGCTCCAGCGACTACCTCCGCCACAAACACGCCGACGCTCACTACATCCATCTCGTCCTGAAGTCCGCGCCCCATACGTCCCCCGAAGAGGTTTCCAGCGTCCGGTCCTGGATCCTCCACGAGTTCCCCGGCGCCGACATCGAAGAGCATACCTACCACGGCCAGATCCGCTTCTCCGTCCCTGTCCAGCGACCGGACGCCGGCAATGTCGACGTGGATGAAATTCAGGGCGAGGTGGGCCCGAATGGCGTCGGGGCGCTGATCATGACCCTCGAGGATCAGCGTGAGAAGTTGGGCTTGGAGCACTACTCTGTCAGTCCCACCACGCTGGATGAGGTGTTCTTGACAATCGTGCAGAAGCACAAGGTGGAGGAAGAGGGATATTCTGCGGGAGAGAAGACGAAGAAGCCGAAGTGGAATTTGTTTAGCAGGTGGATGAAAAAGTAGATGGAGACGAATAAGTAATAAAATTTTGTAATACAATTTCTTGCGTCGCGCGAAGGCAACTAACTGGATTACTTTGACGCTATCAGCTTTGATTATAATACGTGAGTGCTTGATAAATTCAAGCAGAGCTCAGGCTAAGAATCGTATCCCTCTCGACGAGATTCTGATAGAGGCAGACAGGTAGTGAAGGCGCTTTTACTTTGAAGACCGAAAGAAACGAAGAACCGAGACAAGGAGAACATCCGGGGCATCGAGTGAATGGTCAGGTAAGCGCCACCCACCTCACACGGAAGTCCAGTGTAGCTGCGTAGCTGATCGACGTAACCCACGCTTCTGGTATGGAATGTGGCCAATGGCAGATGTGCAGTGGCCCAAAGGAGTGGCCATGGAAGAACATGTTCGGTTTCCCGAGATCTTCCCTGGTGGTCCGGAAAAGCGTCAGGGAATGTACAAAGACAGCAGAGAAATAAGCAAAGGAAGAGATTTTTTTTTTTCGGGGAAATGGGGGAGACTGCCTCCTTATATATAAAAAGGGGAAAATCCCACGAAAACGAGAAATGGGAAGGTACGTCACGTGCGGGTCGAGTCGAGTCGCTTCTGAGCTATGGAAGGAAGGGACTGACTGACTGACCGACTGACTGGCGTACGTGTGGTTGAGTTGAGTTGAGTTGAGTTGAGTCGTCAATCATTGAATTGAGGCTCGATTGGGATAGGAGGCGTTCACAATCACATGCTTACAGGTGATGAATGATTAATAACTATTAGGCGCCTGCCTGTTTGGCCCGTGGGGTAAGGTAACTTCCAAGCTGTAGGAAGGAGACTGAGCTGGACCGTGATCAACGGCTGTGGTGCATATATCATCAGGATCTGAAGCGAAGCGAAGCGATCAGAATAATAATCTGGCCATCTTTAAGAATAAGAAAAGAATACTCGAGCGCCGGATTAACGTACTGCTTACTCATTATCATCCGTCGGATTCATTCATTCTGCACCTTTTCCCCCAGCCATCCCCGCCTCTCCCTTCGCCGCCTTCGTCGCGCCCTTGCTCTTGACAAGATGCAGCGGCCGGTACACCGGATCCCACATCTGCTCTCGAATCCATTCCTCGAGCTCCGTCTCACAAGTCGGGATATCCTTCTCTGTCGCCAAGCCCTCTGCCACCGCCTGCTGGATAACCGCGCGTGCGATGCGTACCGAGATCTCTCTGACGTTCTCGACGTCGGGAAGGAGACCCTTGTCTGGATTCTTGAGCGCGGGGGACTGCGCCGCGAGGGCTTTGACCGCTGCTACTAGCATCTTGTCCGAGAGGAGCGAGGAGCGCGAAAGCACGCAGCCGAGGCCGATGCCGGGGAAGCAGGTGCTGTTGTTGCATTCGGCCACTTCGTACGGCCGGCCTTCGTACTGCACGGGGGCGGAGGGGGAGCCGGTTGCAATGAGTGCTTTGCCCTTGGACCACTGGTTGATATCTTCCGGACTGGCTTCGTGGAGCCGGGTTGGGTTGGACAACGGAAAGATAATGGGACGGTCGACGTGCGATGCCATTTCCTTGACGATTTTCTCCGTGAAGGCCTTAGGCTTGGTAGAAGTGCCGATTAGGACGTGCGGTTTGACTTCCTTGATCACGTCGAGAAGATTGGAATGCGGTTTGTTTTCCCAGTCTGAGTCCTGGCGCGCGTAGGGGATTTGGGCTTTGGTGAGTCTGTCGCCGTGAGATTGCAGGAGTAGGCCGGGTTTGTCGACACACCAGATTTGTTTAGCGGCTTCTTCTTTCGAGATATTGGAGTCGGTGGCGATGGCGTCGCGGACTTGGTCGGCAATGCCGGTTCCTGCGGTGCCGGAGCCGAAGACGACCATGCGCATGTCTGAGAGCTTAAGATTCGAGACGTGGAGCCCGGCCATGATCGCGGCGAGGGTAACGCTGATTAGAGATTAGTATGTGAACTCACTCTCAGAGCCTGAAGGATACTTCATCCTGGTTCTCGAAGAGTTGGAAGAAAGAAGGTTTCAACGTACCAGCCAGTCCCTTGCACATCATCGTTGAAGCAAGGAATTTCGGGTCGGTAACGATCGAGGATGCGACGAGCTGGAGAGGTCAGAGAGTGTTGGGAAGAGATTGTTGGCAAGAGATTATTTAAACTTCAAGTAACACAATAAGTTGGGAAGAATACATACCATTCGGCAACCCAAAATCCTCAAAATGAATATAAGCCCTCGGATATAGCTTCCGGGCACTTTGCACGAACCTGTCCACAAAGTCGTCGTATTCCTCGCCCCTAGCTCTCTTCTGCCTCAGTCCAAGATACAACTCATCGTTCAGCAACTCCTCATTGTCGGTTCCGCAATCCAGAATGACGGGAAGGGTGCGGTTTGGGTGAATGCCAGCGCAGAGCGTAGCGAGGACGAGCTTGGCAACTGAGATGAGGATACCACCTACGCCTTGGTCGCCGATACCGAGGATCTCTTCGCCATCTGGGACATTTTAGTTTCACGACAGTAATACGGGCTAGGAGTAGGAGAGGGGGAGATGACAAACCAGTAACAACAATGTAGTCGATATCCTCTGCGGAACCCCACTGTGCGAGATCATCATATACGCGATCGACGTCGTTGATATTCAGGAAGCAGCCTTCAGGGCGACGGAAGAGGCGTGAGTAGTTTTGGATGGCGTCGCCTTCGGTGGGCGTGTAAATGATCGAGAACATTTCTTTCAGGTGGTCTTTGATGAGCTGGGTTTGAGTTAGCGGATGGTAAACCAGAGGAGAAATATGTGTATAGAAAAAGAATAAGGAAAAGAAAGGTCCCAGAGCCCACAAGAGAGAGACTCCCGAGCCATACTTGAAGCCATCCCCGGGCTCAGAACGGCTCAGAGATCCAACATACATTACACGTTCCACGTGATGCAAGCCTCACGTGTCAATCCAAGAAGGGGCCATTCCAAACCCACCCTGTAATACAGCACCGCATTCTGCTCGGCCAAGCTCGTCATGAAGGTGTTCTTCGCCAAATCATCGCCGCGGCTTGAATACTGCTGATAAGCCCTCCTGACCTGTGTATCCAAATCGCTCACGTGCTGTGGCAGTAGCCCGGTGAGTTTGAACTTCTTGCGTTCCTCGGCAGGGAAGGCGGCGCCTTTGTTGAAGTAGGGCGTGTTGAGGAGGGCCGAGCCGGTGAGGGCACAGTCTTGAGGGCCGGAGGTGCTGAGGGCGAGGTGGCCGAAGGAGGGATGTTTGACGTGAGGTTGGCTGTGTTTGTGGTGGGAGGAAGACATTGTGAGAAGCAAGAGGATGAGGATGGGCGACGGGCAAGATTTTGGTGGTAGTATATTGTATTGGGCTTTAGGGTGGGTTGGCGGTTGAGGTTTGAGGGATGAGGGATGAAATTTACGGGTTGAAAGTCGAGGATCGTGGGTTGTGGGTTGTGGGGATGGAGGAAGCTCGAAGACTACGAGTTGATGGAGACTTGGGTCTGTTGATCTGTTGAATTGAAAGAAAAATGTAAAAAAAATTGTGCAAAAAATGGAAGGTGCAACTTGCATGATAATCAGTAAGTGGAATTCGATTTATTTCAAGATCAGTAAGTTTTCATTCATTATCACCAAACTCGACATTCACTCGACGTCTATGAGCCAACATCTATAACTTGACATCTGCTACCGGTATCCGCTTTGCACTCTTTCTTACCTACGTGATAGCGAGCGACTCTGAGGGATAATTCTACAAGCGGTTAAATGCATTTGTGAGTTGGAACCTCTAGGCAGTATATCCAATTGTTATATAAAATAGATACACACAAATTAGTCCATCGTTTGGCTGCTGAGTGTCCCTGGGTAATCGAATCCAAGTCCTGTCAAGCCCATCATGATGTTGTTTTGGCTGCAATTCCAGTTCCAGTTCCACTTCAAGCGAGCGCGGGAGGGAAGCTTGATTCGACCCACTCACGATCTGAGAAGACTGATCATGTGAGTAAAGCTTACCTAGGTCCCAAACATACAGAGTACGAAGTATATGCACTACTCACCTGAGGCAATGGTAACAACGAATGTCGTGGATAGTGACGGATAGAGTAGGGCCGCAAAGAAAGATAATACTCAAGTCCAGTCCAGAGATATGATGCTCTTTAATGATCATGTGATCCGTGTGTATGCAGTACAGAGCTCCGGTACTGGTATATCCGTGGGTCCTCCATCTATCGGTATCTCTCTCCCATCACGATCCTCCGCTGAACAGAGCTCCGTATGTAGGTACGCAAGGAGCCACACTCCTGTAGGGCTCTCATGAAAGAGTAGGAGTGTGGACTATGAAGGTCCTGTATTGGTCTAGCAGCATTCCTCTAGGGAGATACAGGCCGGTCGCGAAGGACCAAGACCGCACCTCTTCGCAATCTCCATCTGGCCACCACACAAGACGCGCAGGTGCCAGAAGGCCTCCCGGAGAAGGTCCCATTTCGATGCCACGAAGGCTGAGTGATTGCTCAAGGGGCTGCGCGAGAAGGGAGTCGAACAAGAAGAGATGATGCCTGGGTTGAAGCTCGTCCGGGCGACGAGAAGAGCCGCTGCTGGTTACGCTGCTGAATACCTACCGGTAAGCTGCGGTCCATCTCTACCGTGGTTGGCATAATGATGATATGCTTCTGTCGCCCACAGTCACTCGGATGTGTACAGATTCCCCAGGTCGAGGTCGAGGTCGAGGTCGAGGTCTACCAACCAAAACGTAGCGGTAGAAGCATCATATAAACCACTCTTAATAACATGTAATGCAAAGACGAGCTCTGCGATTGTGAACAGTAAAGGGAGGGGTGCAATAGACAATGAAGATATGAAAGTTGCGCCAGAAATTGATGGCGGTCGATAATAGTCAGTGCACTGACTATCAACTAAAGAAAAGAAAAAATAAATTGAAATGATCACGTTTGAGCTAGGGTTCCGAGCTAATCCGGATGCAGATTAGCGCGTCCACGAGAGTCGACATGGTCATTGAGCGGAGCCCGACTCAACGAACATATTTCACCTCTGTGGTCTTTGTTCCCGTTGCCTTCCAACAACACCATCGACGCATTCTTATGTCCACACGTCGCCCTCGAGAAATCATTTGCACGCAGACGCGATACGTGAAACCTGAAACGCGATAAGCTATCCATTACCAACTACACACACAATGGCTGGCGGCAAGAAGAAGCGCGGACACCCTGACGTCGAGGAAGTCCTCCAAAGACCCTGGTGTTATTATTGTAAGTCCTCCGCCATTTGCGCGCCTCTCCCGCCCTCGCCCTCGCCCTCGCCCTCGCCCTCGACCCGGCTATGTCTAACGTACTACAGGTGAGCGTGACTTTGATGATCTCAAGATTCTCATATCCCATCAGAAGGCTAAGCACTTTAAATGCGAACGGTGCGGCCGCAGACTAAACACCGCAGGAGGTTAGTCGCTGCTCCTGACTTGTCGCCTGCTCGAAATGCTAACGAACACAGGTCTCTCCGTCCATATGAATCAAGTCCACAAGGAGACTCTGACGAGCGTCGACAACTCCCTGCCGAACAGACAAGGGTTGGATGTGGAAATCTTCGGTATGGAAGGCATCCCGGAAGATGTTGTCCAAGCACATAATCAGCGCATCATCGCAGGTTTCTATCAGGCACAAGCAGAGCGACAGGCTGCCACGGGCAATCCAGGTCCAGGTGCGCAAAATGGTGGTCAATCCAAGAAACCAAAGATCGAGGCACCCTCGGATTTGAAGAAGCGATTAGCAGAGCACAAGGCGCGGAAGGCCGAGCAAGCTGCGAATGGGAGCAGTGGAGCTAACACACCCATGATGGACCCTGCACAAAACAGCCCTATAGGCCAAAGTCCGGTTCCATTTGTGAGTCAAAACCGCTCAGATCATCCACCAACCTATGCTGACCCTCTACAGAACGCTTCCCCCTTTCCTCCTCAACAAGCCAGCTATGGCGCAACACAAGGTGCGGGTTACGGATCGTTTTCACAAGAGCCCTATTCACAACCTGTGGCAGCTTACCAACAGCCTCCCTACCAAGCCCCCTTTTCGGGTCCACCAGGCCAGCAATACCAACCCTCCTATTCGCCACCTCAACAACAACACGCCCCTACCGCACAATCTTACCCCCCATACCCACCCCAACTTGGACCCGGCTCACCACCCGGCTCGTTTGGTGGATATCCACGCCCGGTATCGCACACTCCTCCACAGCTTGGCGGACTCCCAAATCGACCACCAAGTTTGCCGCCTGCTCCCGGGCTTCCGCAACGACCATCTTTTGGTGCTCCTCAACTTCCACCACACCAAATGCAGCAGATGCATCAAGGCGCTCCCCCACCACCGGGCACGTGGGGAGGCAGTGGATGGAAGGGTACAGAACAAAACACAGCTATGTCATCAGCATACTCTCACCCTCCAGGCTTCCCTGGAGCTTATCCGACTAACGCTTCTCCTGTGGATGACGCTGTCTCAGGCGCTGCCCGCGAAGCTGACGATGACATTGACAAACTGATCAGAATGGCCGAGGCAGGTATCAAGCCCCTGAAGAATGGAGAAGTCCCCGCGCCATCCCAGGCACCCGAAGCGATGCCCACCCCCGCTCCTGAAGCCAAGTCGGCAGAGACGGTGGCGCCGGCCGACAAGAAGTCGAAGAAGGAGAAGGGGCAGGTCAAGATGATGTATTCCGACAACGATTTGAGCCCGGAGGAGAGAATGGCCCAAATGCCCAGGTACGCATTCGTCCCAGAAGGAAAGACTGAACCAGTTCTTGTCGAAGCAGCTCCGGTGGCCGAGGCCGTGGGCGCTTAGGGTGGATTTGCAGGTTCGCATCTCGGCAGGTCACCCGTTTCTTCGATCATTATCGGTACAAATATTCTGTCTTTTTAGGTTCTCGTTGGGGCGTCTTCCAAGCACACCGCCGGCGTTTCGCGTTCCTTTCTCGCCATGGTAAGTTCGCAGGGCGAGAGGGAGAATGGTGTTGGGGGGGTGGGGAGGTGGCACGGGTCTAATGGGTTTTGTGAAGTAGTGTATGGCATTTGTAAGTACGGAGGTTAGCGACTCCAACTTCCTTCGAATCCAAAGTCACTCTGCCGCGTCGCGTTTCCCGTTGGAATTTCCCATATCATATGCCCGCGCAGTACTAAAGACTCGGGGGGTTTTCGATATCCGTTTCCGGTTCTCTGTCTCTGAGTAGGTATTCGGGAGTGAATGTGCGGGCAAGATGCCTGTCCTTCAGATGTACCCGGAATGAAGCTGTTTATCCACCACTTTCGCGCCTGCGCGGGGAAAGGACGTCGAGCCGGCACCAGGACTTATCTTGTGCACGATGAGGACATGGATGATGAACTCTCATTGGGACGGCTATCATGCTCTCTTCTTGTGCGTGCGTCATACGGAGGATTGCTTTTATTGTCAATATATTGTTGTAAGATAAGTATACAACTCCCTACCTACGGACGGAGTATCTTTTCATTACGCGAAAGTATACTGTCATTATACGAAAGTATATTGATTGCTATTTTATTACTGTATACCAAAGGGGCGCGATGATCGCTCCAGTGTCGATCTCCGAGTATGTTTTGGCTTTTGGCTTTTGGTTTGGCTTGAGATTTTCGCTTCGGGCTAATGCCCAACATTTTGCCGAGGGTGCATTCAGTTCATCCATCTCATCCATCTCATCCATCTCATCCATCTCATCCATCTCATCCATCTTCCCAATCAGGTGCAGGTGCTAGAGAGCCCGAGAGCCCGGGTCACGATCACCTTCCGCACAAGCTTGCACCGCCGAGGCGCAGGAGAAGATGAAATGAGCTGTGGTGACAGGGAACTTTATTTGCTGTGAGCTGCTCTCCTTTTCTCCTCTACGAATGCAAATGCGAATGCGATCGTGATGTGAATTTATCCCTATCAATCTGGCCCACTACCTGCGCCGAGCTCTCCCCTCCCATTTGTACTCCATGGCTTCCTCTTTCCGCCATGTCGTTCCCTCCTCCCCCTCTCTCTCTCTATCCATCCGTCTCTCGTCTCCCGAGTACGTCGACGAAGACAACGATAACGACGACGGAAGATGAAGTCCCTCCCCCTCTCCCTCTCCCTCTCCCTCCTGCTCCCTCTCCTCCCTCTCCTCCCTCTCCTCCCTCTCCTCCCTCTCCTCCCTCTCCTCCCTCTCCTCCCTCTCCTCCCTCTCCTCCCTCTCCTCCCTCTCCTCCCTCTCCTCCACTCGCTGCTCCCCACCGTTGCAGCGCTAGGTTAAATCTCCCCCGTCACCACCACTTCTTCTCCTTCCCTCCTCCATCTCGCCGGCAAGGACCTCGATGCCCAGATCCTGGTCAGTGCCGACGACTGGCGGGGTGTCCCCCGCACCGCCGAGGGCCTGGCCACGGACTTTGGGAGAGTCACGGGCAGCAACCTGACGCTGGCGAACTGGGGCGGCGGGGGGAACTTGACGAGCAATTCCACGGTGAACAGCAGCAGGAGCAGTGCGAAGAAGCTCGGGCAGCGGGTGGTGGTGGTGGACAAGAGGGATGGCGTGCCCGGCGTGAATGCCAGCTCGTGGTGGGATATGGATCACGGCAAGATCCCGAGCAGTGGAGAGCATCACAAGCTCGGGGCGAGTAGTGATGGGAAGGGGATGACGTTATACTATGAGTTTCAGTCCCTGACGAGCTTCGTTAACGTGGGTGTTTTTTTCCCTCTTTTTTTTTCCCCTTCCTCTTCTTCCATGCCCTGACGATCTTGCATCCGGTACTTGGCGGACAGGTTGTCAACCAGATTTACATTGGCGCGACCCGGAATGCCGTCTATATTAATCAGAAGAGGAACACGGCAAACGGTGTGGCGACTAATGTCTGGGCTTTGTTTAACAAGACCACCAGTTGACCCAGAGGTATCATGACCTGTTGGGCGGAAAGTGAAATCATATGCTTGACCGTGAGTTCTTCGCTTAGCTCAGGTTTTCTACTGCTCAAAGACTCTTGTTGACAAATATTAGAAACCCATCTCGGCTACAGAAATACTGGCAACAGCCCATGCGCAACATACTCCCACCTACATCCTGGGTCCAAGATCTCGAGACTTCCCTCGGTGGTAACATCGGCATCGGGATCGAAGGTTCCAACGCAACATTATCCGGCGACCATGCCTTCCACAGCAACGGAGGTAACACACTCGTCCTCCCCCCATGGATCCCTACGGTCCTAGGACGCGCTGGATCGACGTCTTCTCCCGCGGCAGCGCAGGCTGCCAATGGACTCTCTTGCCCGGGGCCACCCACGTCGTCCTCTCGCCAACAACTGGCTACACGAGTGGCACCAACGGCACTGACACGCGCATCTCGATCGACTGGTCCGAAGCGCCTGCCGCTCCCATCACATCCACCGTAGAGATCAACGTCACGTCCTCCTGCGACTGGGGTAGCTACAACCCTCCCATCTTCCAAATCCCCCGTCAACAATACCGTCGTGCCGGCCGACTTTACGGACTTCGTCGAGAGCGACAAGCACCTCTCCATCGAAGCTGAGCACGCCTCGCGGAACACCTCCGTCAACGGCGTCGCCTACCACACGATCCCCTCTTATGGCCGCACCCTGTCGGGGCGGGCCCGGTCCTGGAATACGACATCTTCACGCTCACCAGCGCCGCGAAAGCGAACATGACGCTCCTGCTTTCGCCCTCGCTGAACCAGAACGTGGCGGCGAGACCCTTACGCTACGGCATCGCGTTCGACGCGGAGGCTCCGCGGACCGTGCAGCCCGTCGGTAACTTCACCGGCGGCTGGGCCGGCGCCGTGAGCGATGCCGTGTGGGGGCTCAGCGCGAGCCGGAACACGACGACGACGACGCACGATCTCGCCGTGGCGGGCCGGCACACGCGAAGAACTGGGCCGTGGAGCCCGGGGTGGTGATTCAGAGGATTATCATCGATCTGGGCGGGGTGAAGCCGAGTTATCTGGGCCCGCCGGAGAGTTTTATGATGGGTGTCGATACGTTGAGCGCGTACGAGGGGAGTGACTTTGCGGTAGTGGAAATTTGAGCGGCGGTGGTGCGTAGGTGGATGAATGCGTGACGCTTATTACTGATAGTTGGATACGAATGAAGAGAATGAAACGAAGAAAAGAAGGAACGATGAAGTGGGAATTTTCACATATAATAATTCACCATCGCTAGATTCCAAAACTGGCGTGCGATGGTACATTGGATCATCGCACGCCGTCCTTCCGCCCTTCATTCCGGCTGTATCTCGTCACGGTCTCCAACCAAAACAACCTTATAGCTTCTAGCAGGCACCTCGGTCCACTCCAGCAGGTTGACACCATAATTAGGTATTTCCATGTTTGATCAGGGCAGGAGAGACAGCGGAGAAGTAACGTTCGAGGCCCCGGGGCTTTTCCGCAGTCGCTCGCTCATTCAGCCTGCGTCAAATGTATCCAAGTGACAGACGGCGTTGTTGGACCAACATCGTTTGCCGCCGCTGCCCAGATCTTTACGACCTGGAACTCGTCGAATATGTCATCGATCGTTCGTTCTTGAGGGCGTTTTTGAATCGATCTTAGCTGACGATATGCTTTTGAGCAGGGACTTTCCTGATCTCGCCCAGCAATGCGCTTGCTTGTCCATGGATGCCAATGCCGCCAATCTGCCTTGCGGTGACGCTCTTCCTCTATCTCTCCTACTCCTCTGTTGCCCGGCCTGGTCTGACGATACCTTGATACTGATCAGCATCTCAATATCAGATGACTGATGGTATGTTCTCTTACTCAACCTTGCCCTCGCACTCTTTCTTATAAGCTGGCTCTGAATCTGATATGATACTTGAAGCTCTGCTCTGCTCTGCTCCTATTGCCCGCCCTCGTATTCTGCACTACATACCGGCTCATCAGGCTTCAATTAATATGTATATATATATATTGGGCTGTACAGTCTACGAAGCTTGGGACGCTATAAGAACTTGACTGGTCAGTCAGCCTAGAATTCTCAGTGTAGTCAGTCGTGCGAAATTTCTAGGTGGACGGAGGAGAGAGTGGCAGTGTAATTCAACATGGTACAACGTTCTGTCTGTCCCCAGCTGCAGTACTCTTCTTGACTTCGTCCTAGAGCTCGAGGGTTAAGCGAGAAAGGAAAACATCGAAGAAAATGTCGAAGAAAAAAACTCGTCAAGAAACATAAAAAAAAACCCCCGAAAAAAAAAGGAGAGAGAGAAATAAACCCCCTAAAAAACATCAAAAAGTTCGGCCCGGTATTGAATTGCCTACATCTTTTGTCGTATCGAATTCCGCCGTATGATTTTGTCGTGTGTGGTTCGGTGCTTCTAAACCACTCGGCCCCAAATCGTTACAAGTTGTTGATCCTCCTGCCAGATTGACCTGACAAGTACACCATTGTACCTGCGCCACTGGTTGAGATACGTGCGCAATATCGTGGATTATAACAGAGTCAGAGATTTTTTCTTCCTCCCTCGGCGTCAGTTCGGGAACTTGTTTCCTAGCGTTGGGAGAAATAGGTAGTCAGGCCGCTCGCTACAAGGTGCTCAACCGGCTCGAAATTGTATCTTTTCTTGCCTTCGGCCATATATATATATATATATATATTTATATAGATTTTGATTCGTCCGCTCGCTGTGCCTCTTTAGAGAAATCACATCGCGATGCGATACGATACGTGTCAGTGGCCTGTGGCAAGTCTCTCGATATGTACCTATTGTACCTATGCCATCGCACGCGGCATGCCACAACTGGTCGCTACAGGCATACTAACTAACCAACAAGCAAAGATTTCGCGCTCCCGATATTGGGCAGGCAGCACTGCAGGCAACATGTATATCTCGGCATGTGGACTTCTTCATGTATCTCTCCAAGTCGGGCCTCACGGTTTCTAGCCGGGCGTGCGTCACTTCAAAGCTATGTCTGAAGTGGCCAAGTCCTCAGGATTAATAAACATGCTCAAAGGCGTTCGATTCCAATCTCTCGCCCTGAATAAAAGAACTCCGGAGAAGACTCTGGTTGTACGAAGCTGAAAAGTTCAGACGACGGTTGCGCTGACTGACGGCTGCTGACCTTTACCTCACGTCCCTGAGCAGCCATGACTGCCCGCGAAAGCGAATACTTCCCAAGCCTCGTCGTTGCAATCGACTACGGCACGATATATACAACAAGTGTGCAATACCCTCACCTTATGCTGCAATAGAAAGTAACGTCTCGAGCTCGAGAGTGGCGTCGTGGGGATATAGCAACAGAACCAACCGAGCGTCCGACAGTCCGCGATATCGAGGTTATTGCCGATTCTCCCGATTGTAGAAGTCGCGAAGAGGAGAAGGTTCCGAGTGAGAATGCCTACTCACCCTGACAGTGACCGGGAGGCATGGACAAAGCTCTTGATGGATGAGAGTCGGAGGGAGAAGAAGCAACTCGGTCTGATACACGAGCTGTTACACATGCGGGAAACAGACAGACTCCAGCAGGCATCGACAGCAACTGTGGCAAGGAAGGGAGAGAGAGCCGGTGGAGGAGATGGTGACCGATTTTCTTTCTGGCGCCAGGACTCATGTGGAGATGAAAGTTGGGGGAAAGGGACGTTCGTTAGAACACTCTGCCTGCTTCTCTGATGATTTTCAACGAAACCATACTAACCTGCTGTATCACTGAGCCTGTATATACTATTGCTAAAAGTAACATGACAGGTTCCGAACAATGCTTCCCCTCCTGGAGCGAGAGGTTTGTAATGTAATCACTGTGCGCCTGCGATGTGGTTTGACAGAGCGAAAAAATCCGATCTACAAAGAAAGCGGTTTGCGATGCTGGTTTCAATGACTGGAATATATTCTTCTTCGCATGACGCGCTAGGGCCGTATGTAAACATCGACTCGAAGGAATAGAGTTGACAAGCAGTGGATTTGAACATTGCCGCCACTGAGTTAGATACGGTCGAAGGAAGGTAACAGAGGGTGTCAAGAAAAAGAGTTAGAGGATGTTGTAGTGGGTAGGTAGGTGGACGATATGCGTTAGTTTTAAAATTTGGCAAGACAAGGAAGGAATTCTGGATTGTTTATATCTGCGAATACCGTTCGCTCATGACTAGGACTTTGCTATCAAGTCGGAAAGCAGAGATAGCGGCGGGGATGTTCTCCGGGTGGAAGGCTCGCATTAGGTTTGGTGACATCGTGGAGCGCGAATGAATCGCCTGGCAAACAGGAAAGGAGAAATGAGATCAGCGGTAATCGAAGCAGAAGGGCTATTATTGTTTTTCGTCGAGCACTACATAAGTAACGGAACTACATCGACTACACCGCTCCGCTAAGCAAGCCCATTGAGGCCAGGTCACCCGACTCAGCCGTTCCCGTACATATTTCGGCTTCAGATTGATATTAGCTAAGAGGATGGCAATCTCATATGTGCGCTCGAGTTCATGGAAATCGTCGTGGGAGTAAACAGCGATAGCGGTAGCCATGATGGAAGAAGAAGAAGAAGAAGAAGAAGGAGAAGGAGAAGAAGGAGAAGAAGTTATAGTGAATCAAGCGAAGAAAATACAAACCTATCGGACGGAAGACAGACTGGGGAGAGTGATTGGCTAGAGATTTTACGCTGTACCAGCGTGAGAATTGGATTGGGACCAGAGTGTTTCACGTCATATGGACTCTATATCTTTTACCAGTTCGACCGTTCCTATTACTTAGGACAAGACAGCCGTCAAGGCGGAGCAAATGAGTTTGTCACATTGGAAATTCGAAATTCGAAATATCACCAGGGCGTAAGATAAGAGGCAACAATCCTCAGCGCAGCAATAGCGAAGAGTAGTCAAGGTATCAACCAACACGAGACTGCTTATTTGATTGTTATTGTTATTGTTATTGTTATTGTTATTGTTATTGTTATTGTTATTGTTATTGTTATTGTTATTGTTATTGTTATTGTTATTGTTATTGTTATTGTTATTGTTATTGTTATTGTTATTGTATTTATTAACCATTTACCAACGTATCACAAACGCCTCCACAACAAGCAATCTAGTAACTCCATTGCTAATAGAGAACCCATGATATATCTTAGAAGACGATGCCGCGTAGAGATATGCTCACTCTTTGCACGCGTGCCGGCTAAACCAAGAAGTAGACCAAAGAAAGGCACCCCCACGGAGCGTCAGAGCTTCCACTTCGCGATGAGGACGGGCGAAGGAGCTAGAATAGGAGACGTGTCATATGTGTGTGGCTTTTGCTTTAGTTTTGGTGAAATAGAACGGAAATTGAGGAGGCAGGTGAGGCAATTGTATGTGATGTCGAGGCTGAGTGCCTTGATCTTTTCGAGGCAGGTGTATTGTGTCCGGGGAAAAGGTGCTTTCGGAAGACAGTAAGATCTCAAGTATCCTTGGGTTGAGAGTAAAATGCAAAATCTTGCTTCATTTATAATTCATTGCGCGAGAGATAGTATGCACCCAAGCCGGTTGAGGGGCTGTTTAGTAAACTCGAGCATTACAAGTGCACAAGAACCACGAAAACCACAGGTTATCGCTTTAAGTGCATCTGCACAGAAAACTTGCTTACATCCAGTAAAAAATAGCGCTGGAAAAGATGATTCACCGTGCGTTGTTTGAAAAAGAAAAAAAATTGCTTGCATGAATATCCTCAAGGCTCTATCCACTTCCACCTTGGAACGAGCTCAAGTTAGCTCTAGAGTCGCCGTTGAGCAGGAATGTAGAGGATAGCGCTTCAACCTAAGCCTTACCAGGTATGAGCCCCATTCTGCAAATCAAGGAGCAGTCCGTATCTTTGTGGAGTTTGTTGCCAGCAAATCTGTGACGCACATATGCGCAGTTTATAACAA